GTCCCTGTAACAGGCCGTGGAGGCCCATAGGGCTATGAGATGTTCAGGCTCCCACATTTTCTCTAGACAGTCGGCTCACAGATGGCGGCAAGGTTGCCAGCCCTACGCGCCGGCCGCCCTTTACCCCCAAGTATATTCCTGGTCCTCATTTCTGTTAGAGGCTGAGTCGACCCCAGGGTTACAGTGCGGCTGGAAGGATTAGGTCAATTAAAAAAAATCCAATTACCTCATCGGGACTTGAACCAGCGACCTTCCGACTTGTAGCATAGTGCCTCAACCAACTACGCTACCGCGTGTCCCCGTAGATGAGAGTATAATATTAGAATGTATCATAACGAAATGGGATAGGTTGGTATGGACTGGATTCATCTGGCTCATGATGCAGATCAGTGGCGGAGTCTTGTGAACATACTAATGAACCTGTTATGAACCGTCGGTTTCAGTAAGATACTGGGAATTTCTTGTGTGGCTGAGCAGCTGTTGGCTTTTGAAGAAGAGCTCAGTTGCATAGAATGAGCGAATGAGTTAATTAGTTAGCGCGAGCATGGGCATATCCAGAAGTGTGGATGAGAATGGAGAAAGCCTTATCATGAGAGACCCGCTCTGGTGGAAACGTTTCTTTTGCAGGGTGTTTGCGTTATATTTGTGTTTTTTGACAGCTAAACATATACAAACATACGCAAAAAGTCAAAGAAAGAGATATCGCTGTGTAGGACTCCGACTTGGAATTTGTCAAGTCTACTGTAATCTCGACTTGCAAGCAGAGTACCAAGACTAGAATGTTAGTTAAAGACCATTGATTTCCGATTTTTAATTCTCCATCTCTATCATTGTGGCTGATTTGACGACAGACATTATTATTACATCCTAAATAAAGTCTCACGGAGATCTTTTCCAAATCCCGTGACACAATTGTATTGCCAATCACAGTGGCCGCGCGGTCTAAGGCATGAACCGTCTTCGCTCGCTCGAACGCTGGGACCGTTGGTTCGATTCCCACACCAGGCAGGATGTCTGTGTGCATTTATTCCATGTTTGTGTTGTTGTGTGTGTAAGAAGTGGCCTTGCGACGGGCTGATCCCTCGTCCAAGGTGTCCTACCGGCTGTGTATAGGGTTAAGAAACTGAAAAAGCGGCCAAGGTCCAACAAAAGGACTGTAGAGCCATACATAGGTAGACAGACAGACAATTTTGTATTAAACTTGAGATGCTTTGCTACTGAGCACGTAGAGATCCTTTTTTTTTTTTGGAGGGGGGGGGGTAAGTTTGGTTTATTAATTTTAAATTTCGCAATACAAGGACCTAATTTAACATTACATATATGAATGTATGTTTTTGAGTCATGTGACAGATTTCGATGGAACTCAGTAATTTTACAGCGCTTCTGTTAGCGTATTGCCGTGTGTAAGTTGCATTGGGTTTAGTTGCTTATGAAATCTGCATTTCTTATGAGTAAAAAGAAAGTATTTCGAATGAAAGTTTTTAAGAAACTCAGACATATTTTTATGCTATGTACAAGTTTCCCTTGAGTCGTGCGTACTTCCAGATAATTGAACAGGCTGGAGCGAATGTTCCGGGATTGGTACGCTCCTATTTTTTTTTTCAGTCTGATTCGAGGAATAGTTGCTGCCATTCAGTTCAGACTCATGTACCTTTCCGTATTCTGTCCGTAAGTCTGAGTTCGTAAAACTTTATTTCTTGAATTAAAGGAAGAATGTAGACTGAGGGCGTTTGGAAACAAACTACCGAGGAGCCTATTTGGTTGCAAGAGAGAGCAGAAGCAACATGATACTCGAGAAAATTACATTGTAGTGAGTTTCGTAATTTGTGCTCTGCGCCAAGTATTCTTCTTCTTATTTCCTTGGCACTACAGCCCCAGTGGGCCTAGGCCTACCTCCATGAACTTCTCCGTTCACTTCGGTTTTTCTAGATCTTACACATTCGGTAGGTCTCCTTGGGCGGGTGATCAGCTCGTCGCAAGGCCTCTACCTGTTCACAAACAGAGGAAAACGCACACACACAAACTAAACATCCATACCCTGAGTGGGATTCGAACCCACGTTCCCGGTTTCCAAGCGAGGGAAGACAGCACATGAGCGCCAAGTATTACGGTGATCAAATCAAGGAGGATAAGATGGTCAGGACATGTAGCACACACATAAAGAGATCGGAGATGGGTGCGAAATTTACTTCGTAATAGAGGATAGCCGGTCACGGTAACCGAGCGGTATAAGGCATGTACTGTCTTCGACCGCTCGGAAGTCGGGATCGTGTGTTCGAATCCCATACAAGGCATGGATGTTTGGTGTGTATATGTGTTGTCCTGTGTTAAGGTAGAGGCTTTGCGACGAGCTGATCACCCGTCCAAGGAGTCCTACTGTCTGTAGAAATGATCATGAAACTGAGAAATCAGCCCTACGCTCCAAATTTGGAGCAAGAGAAAATAAAAAAATGATACCGCTTAAGAGAGTTATAGTTTCGGAAGTAATGTCGAGCTAAGTCTTAAGGAGAAGTACAGGGTGATTCATATAGAACCGGCCCGACGAAATGAGCTGTAATATAAAATATACCATATAGATAGTAAAGTAATTTACACATATCTTATCTTGGATTGTGTGCCGTGATCAGAGCAGGTGTTGAAAGTGCCCGCCGTTTTCAAGTAGGCACGCCTCCACCCGCATTTGCATATTTGCCGTGACTCGCTGCAGTGTTTCTTCAGTGATATTCCTGATTTCAGCCGAAATGTTGTCCTTTAAATCCTGTAACGTACGCGGTTTGTTTGCACACACCCTGTCCTTCAGTAAATCCCAGAGAAAAAAAATCCGGGCTGGTAAGGTCAGGAGATTTTGGGGGCCACATCTTTTGAGAGATGACGCGATCGTGGAAGAAGCTCTCAATCAGTTCCATGGACATGTTGGAGGGGGCGAAGCTCTGTAATTTAAGCTAATGTTAGGTTGTGAGTGTACATTATGACAGTTGGGTGCAAATGACTACTGCACATCGTTATGCTCATTTGAGCACTCTTTGGCTGTTGGCAATATCTTACGATTGAATGCCTCTGATAGCGTATGAAATCATTATATATTTATACGGGACATGTTATTTCCGAATTTTCTCACATGATAAACTCTTGCATATATCTTTCTGTTAATCTCTCTACGTAATCTATGAAACCTGGAATATATTACGATATTTATAACGGTCGTAAATGCATTTTTCCGAAATATTGACACTTCAGAACGCTCTCAAGTGCATGATATCACAGTTATCTTCATTGACTCTTACAATTTCCAACAGTTCCCCAAATATTCTCTTTTCCAATGTTCCCACTATTAACTTTATTATGTTTTTCGACATATGTGAGGGATATACATAAACTTTATATGAAAGGTGTCCACCCCACAATACTAGTGCTTGGAATGCATTCAGTTTACTGATGTCATAATCCGATGATGGAGTCTTGTAAACATGATAACAAATCTTCGGGTTTCATAGAAGACAAGAAATTTCATGACAAGGTAAGGGTCTTCTGATAGCCTATAACTTCTTGTTATTGTTTCAGTTTGCAGATGAACACCCGAAAGAAACAGAAGAGTTATGGGCCACTTTATGTTCCTGCTGGCCAAATAACCTCAAAGTTATCATTCGGTATCTTCTCATAATCTCGGGCATGGCGCCTCAAGAACTTCTCCCTTATGTAAGTATTTTGTCTTAAAGGTAACAGATCGTGAAGGCCCATAGGGTTGTTAGACGTCGAGGATTCCAACATTTTCTATATGCAGTCGGCTCATATTTGGCGGTGAGGTTGTCAGCCTTACGCGCCGGCCGCTCTTTACCCCCCAGGAATATTCCTGGTACTCATTTCTGTTAGAGGCTGATTTGACCCCAGGGCCATAGTGCGGCTGGAAAGATTACATCAGTTGAGAAATCCAATGACCTCATCGGGAATCGAACCTGCGACCTTCTGGCTTGCAGAACGAAAACCATTACTTTTAGTATACTGTGTTCATGTTGAAAGTAATTGCTTTCCTTATATTGAAATTTCCTTAATGACAGTCTGCCACGTGACTGTAGGCATGTTTTCTGCATATACGCCGTCCCCTGCGCAATACTCTTTAAGTTTTCTTGATACCCCCACCAACTGGCCTATTGCGTCAGTACCGGATGATAGAAAAGTATGGAGGCCTTGGGTGGAATGCGATTGAAACTGGAACAAAGTTTATCATATCACAACGAAAAAAAGAAACCTGTTACTTCCGCTGAGCTATCGGAAACATTCCTATCAGGAAGTCACGCTATTTGTTTTAGAAAACATGGAAATTATCTTATTGTTATCATTTTTGCTGTACTGAAATGTACAACTAAAACAATACATAGCAACATTTCATGCACTAAAATAATTTATCTACGAAAATATTTTCCAAACACAACCGCACACAATTGCTGTCAACGATTTTCAATAAGCTACGATATATTCTTTGCGATCGAAACTAAATCGAAAGAAAACTCCATATTTTAAACATGTCCTCTGCCATGACAGAAGGACCACTTAGAGTTTGCAATCTGATGCACTTCTAGGGTTCTCATTTAGCACTCATACATAGAAGTGTACATACATACACCAATAAGAAAAAGCATAGAAATATTCAACTCAGAAAGTCTGCATGAAACATTTAAGTATAGGTAAAAAAAAAGTAAGAGGCCGTGAAGGCCCACAGGGTTCTGAGACGACGAGGCTCTCACATTTTCTCTAGACAGTCGGCTCGCAGACTTGTCAGGTTGTCAGGCTTACACGCCGGCCGCCCTTTACCCCCAGGAAGATTCATGATATTAATTTCTGTTAGAGGTTCAGTCAACCCCAGCGCCATATTGCGGCTGGAAGGATTAGGCCAACTGAAAAATCCACCTCATCGGAACTCGAACCCGCGACCTCCCGGCTTGTAGCATAGTGCCTCAACCAACTACGTCACCTCGTGTCCCTACATTTACATTAAAGCCTTTTTCCATTGGCACTACAGCCCCGGTGGGCCTAGGCCTACCTCCATGAACTTCTCCGTTCACTTCGGTTTTTCTAGGTCTTACACATTCGGTAGGACTCCTTGGGCGGGTGATCAGCTCGTCGCAAGGCCTCTACCTGTAGACAAACACAGAAAAACGCACACAAACATCCATGCCCTGAGCGGGATTCGAACCCACGATCCCGGCTTCCGAGCGAGCGAAGACAGTGCATGCCTTAGACCGCTCGGCTACCGTGAGCGGCACATTAAAGCCTTAGAAAATGTTATATGCAGACGATATTCAACAGAACATTTTCACATTTCAGACGCACCCAAAACACAGGCTGTATTTCAGAACAAGATGCTGAGACAATATTTGAATCCGAGGTGAGAAACAAGCTGATGTAGAGAATTTAACAACGAGAAGCTTCATAATTTATATTTGTCACTATGCTTAACTAGTTAAGCACAAAGCGTATGGGGGAGTGGATTTATAGATTAATATATTTTGACCTCGGTACTGGGGGTGGACAGGAGGCTGGGTGGGCCCCCGAGCCGATCTGGAGGACGTGGAGAAGAGAAAAATCTCGCTGTTACCGGGACTTGAATCTTCACCCAACATTACTAAGGCGATGAATCTAGACGAATACGCTAGACAGAGCATGGTGCAAGCCTGAAGGGACCAGACTACTGGTACGGCTATGCGTAAATTGGAGGGGCGCATAAGAAAAGGATCTCATAGAAACGGAAATGTGAGGGCGTCCCTTGCGCAATACTCCCAGTTTTCTTTATACTTCCATGTAGCTTGGGCGACGTAATTAAATGTTAGTTGTATATGTATTGTCTTCTTCAAGCCATCAGCTGGATATTATGGAAAAATATACACGCAGATTTTCATAAGTACTGGAGCACCTGGACTCAGGGTTTAATTGCTACAGAAAAATTAGTAATTATTTTTAGTTTGCAGAAGTTTTACTATTTTAGAACACGCTGCAGTGTCCCTGTTTTATTGTCTGCTTGTACATGAAATATTAATTAAGATGATCCCACGTCTGTCCAGTGAGCAAAGGAAATTCATGAAATCAGCAAGAACCCAGTGTCCTCTCATCCTTTTAAATAAGAGGATTTCGAAAACATCCTATTAATATCATCATGGATGTCCATCCATCCTCAAGTAACAGCTTACGAACTTCCTGACCGATTTCGATGAAACTTTGCGCAGCAGGTAAGGTTAAGTAAGATTTGAGGCTTTCACGGCGGTGACTATGAAGAAAGCAGTCTTCTGGGATTTGGCACCGTGTATATGTGGTGTTAACCGACGTTTCGGAGGAACGTATCGCCCCCATCTTCAGGGTAGAAGCAAAAGTNCCAAATCCCAGAAGACTGCTTTCTTCAGGTAAGGTTAAAGTTGTTCTTGTGCTTAATTAAGCACTACATCATGAAGATGTAGGAAATAGTAGAGATATAGCTCCACAATTCTTGACCTCGGCACTAGATGGAGGTAAGTTAACAGCGGCATGCTTCGACCGCTTTACCGTCTGGTATGAAAGCCATTAGTACCAGTTTGATAGGAGTCTGTGTGAGCCTCAGAGCCGGTCTGGACACGCCGGAGAAGAGAGAGATCCCTGTGTATGAGGGGAATCGAACTCAGCAGTCCTATACCGTATGAACTATCCTGGCTCTTCCGCTCTTCTGCAGACCTACACTTCTTTCTGTCAAGCTGTTTTTATTTTATCCTTCCGAAACGTCGGGACGTGGGTTTGTCTGCCGTGTTGCTCGGCTCCACGCAGCGGGCTTTCGTCCTGTGGGTTTTATTATTATTCTTATTAATGCTTGGATTCTTTTAAACAGGCGCAAATAGCCTTAGAATCTGACGTTCCTGTGCCCCCCCCCCACCCACACACAGCAAAAGCTTTATTTGATAACTTATTTGTATTGTTGTTTGTTTCTGTTGAATCCCCACGGCATGATCGACTGATTTCACTGTGTGCTTGTCTTTCTGTGCAGAAATGATTTGTAAATATGTCCCGTTTGTATGTCGCTTTCATTCTGTCTGCTTCGTTTGAAAACAAATACGTATAGCAGATCGGACTTTTTACTATTCTGTCCGCTGTATGCTGATTCTTTCCGCATCGCACTAATATTTAAAACAGATCGCTTTTCTGGCAGTTCTTTCAAACAAGCGGCTACCTTCACGTTTGCATATGGATGTCCCCCACTGTGTTTTGAAAATTCTCCTAATTGCTGTATTGATTACAAGGGAGATGAAATTTGTCCAAATTCCGCTACTTCCGTAATGACAGTTATTTCCGCGTTAAACTGACTGCTCACAGTCCATTGTGAATATGGGTCTGTGGTCTAGTTGTCCGAGTTCTGCCTACAATCCAGAGGTCCCGGGTTCGATTCCGGGCGATTGTTTATGTGTAAGATACGCGAGTTGGTGGCAGTGATTGACGTCATGGTCACTGTACGTCTGGCATGGCGTCTGTCTGAACTAATTAAAATAAACCAGAGAACCATACGTAAAATATAACACGTTTGGGTTCAAGTCATTCAACTTCAGGTAACAGAGCAGGTGTGGTGACTTGTTTCGCTAAATACCATGAGTTTCATAACATGTGCTCTTCTCTAAATACGATTAGACTGATCAAGCCAAGGAGGATGATATGGGCAAGGCATGTAGCACGAATGAGGGCGAAGAGGAATGCGTATGGGGTTTTGGTGGGAAAGCCAGAAAGAAAGGGACCATTAAGAAGACATATATAGGAGGATACTGTTAAAACGGTTCTTAGAGAGATAGGATGGGATGGTATGGAGTGGATTCATATGGCTTAGGATAGGGACCAGTAAAGGGCTCTTGTGAAAGGGTAATGAACCTGCAGATTCTATAAAATGTTGGGAAATTATTGAGTAACTGAGCGACTGACGGGTTCTCAAGAAGGACCCAGCCGCGTATAGTTAGTTTAGTTAGTTCTCTGAATACTTGAATGGTTCCCTAGCATCGTATTCTTCTCATAGTCTGTCAGTATTTGTCCGCATGGTACCTGTCACACAGCATATGCGACGACTGTTGAAGACTGGAATGTGTGAGTTATGCCAGCTTAAGATAGCCAGTAGTAACAGGCCGTGGGTGACTATAGGTGAAGAGGAGCCTCGGTGGCCCCCAGACGCTTGCGGGAGTCGAACGCAGATTCTCCTGTCGTCCAGCTTTTAGCCTAGTCATGATATTGACTGAGCCACGCCGGCTCTAATAAACCATAGAAAGGGTAAAGTTGTCCCTGTACTTAATTAAGGGCTGTGCTGTGAAGACACATGTGGGAGTGGTGGTATATCTCCACCTTTCTTGGCCTCGGCACTGCATAGAGGTAAGTGGTCAGCGTCACACCTCTGCCGCTTTACCGCTTTACTTCCGGGGAAGAAGCCGGTGCTCAGGGTGGGTCTCATAGTCTGTCTAGACGCTATGGAGTTGAGACAATTTTCCTTCCCCTGCTGGAAATCGAACCCCGGCTGTCTATCCCGTAGCCCCTCGCTATACCGACTGAGATGTCTCGGCCTCTGTAATAAACCACAATAAATAAATAAACATTCATCCGCCTTTTGGCTGAATTCCAGAATAATCATAGTTGTATGGGATACAGGAAGACGGGCCTAGGAAAGTACTGTCTGCAGTTCACGGGGTGACTGCATTCTGTAACGTCTTTAACACGTGCTTACAGAAGTTGAGGTCCTGTTTCTGTTGTGACAGGCAAAGCGCGTGGTATTGTATCTCGCCCGTGCCAGATCAGATCGCTTGCTGGACGAGATGATGACCGAGTTGCAGACAGTAGAAACCCTCAACTGTCTCATAGAACGCACGGAGACGCCCCCGTTCTACAGACTGACAAGCATGAGGAAAGCTTCCAGCCATTCCGATGGACCAGGTGGGGTAGCAGGCCAAGCTGACCCTGCCAATCGCAGTGACTTGGGAGTAGAGAAGGGCACCATTCACACCAAAAGACACAGTGGAGAGGATCCAGGAAAAACAGGGTGAGTTACTTATCTCTTGACTGTGCCATAGCCCAGGCGGTTAGTCGCCGGCTTCCCACCGCAACGGCCCGAGATCAATCTCAGGTCAGATCATGTGGGATTTATGGTGGATAAAGTGGCGCTGGGACAGGTTTACTCCGAGTACTTTGGCTGCCCCTACCACTTCTAATTTCGCCGACTGCTGCACACTCATCATCATCATCATCATCATCATTATCATCTATCAACCTGGGCTGGTACAATAGGCCAATTAATGGCCGACGTACCAAGTGGACTCAATCTCACCCCACTCAAAGGAATTAAAATAATAATTCTCTTTTTTACCCTAATTTCCTCATTTTCAGAAAGAAGAAAGTGTGCTCATGAAATCACCATGCTGTCTGTGTAACCCCCCCCCCCTTCCCATCAACTTTCGAATACCTGAAGGAACTAACTAGCTTCATGGATCTGAGCCCTTCTTGAGAAACCGCCAGTTGTGCAGCTACTCAAGAACTTCCCATAATTATATGGAACGTGAAGGTCCATTACCGTGTTCATAAGAGCCGTCCACTGGTCCCTATCCTGAACCAGATGAATCCAGTTCATACCATCCCATCTTGTAGCCGTACGGCTACGCACTTGTCTTTTAGATTCGTTTGTAACGCTTGGAGAAATACTGACACGCCTACCATCATTGGCACAGTCCTGTAGGATGACCGCCATTAGGCGATTCATAATATTCGATGGTTTTCTTCGCGTTGTTTTCATAACGTGGCACCTGTAGCTAGTCCCCTTATATGCATATTTATGTACATACATACGTACGTACACAGTACGAGAAAGTTGTGATATACAGGCTGTCCAGATGAAAGGTACCCAAAATAAAATAAGTATATCTCAGAAAGCTTTTATTATACACATTAAGGGGTTACACCATTACAAAAGGAAACTATCAAAGTGTTTTCTGAATATATAACTTTCTCAATAAATTTCAACGTGGGCTCCATTGATGGCAGGACAAATATCCAAACCATCCAACTGTTACCATAGCCACAGCGTCCCTTATGCGGGCTTTCAGGTGTTGCAGGTCGTTGATCTTAACCTGGTAGACAATGTTCTTCACATAATCCCAGAAGAAAAGATTAAGTGGGGTTAAATCTGGTGACCTAGGAGACCAAGCAATTGGTTCATCTCTGCCGATCCATCTCTTAGCCATCTCTCTGCCCGGGTGATTCCTAACATGGGGGCGGAAATGTGGCGGCGCTTGCGCGTAAGCCGGGAGTGGGGGGGGGACCTAACAGGCTTTTCCTTTCCGATGACATAAACCGGATACGTGTATGACAATTAGTTTCCGAGATATACATTTTTTATTTTGGATACCTTTCATCCGGATACCCGATATATGTTATCGTATATGACTCTATACGTATTGTTACATCGTCATGCTATCGTAGTTTTCATGTCCATACTCAGGTGGTAGCTGTGTGTTTGAAACTTCGCCATCTGAAGAAGACATATGTAACTTAATTTTCTGTCATGTCTCGTCTCCCGTTTTCTCCCTCTCTGGCGTGGTTGTTAGACAATCGTTCAAATAAAGGAACTCAATTTCACCTGTTACTTCACGACATGTTTCGGCAACACAGTGCCATCATCAGGTGCCCTAATTACGCTAATCTATTTCATTGCTTGCCTTTATAAAATTATTTAAATAGTGCGTATTTGTCAACTATAATAAATTTACACACACTAAAACTTGTTAAGTTTATTCATCTTATGTGTCATAATTAAAACTTGTGTGTGGTTCTTCCACTATGGGGGTCGTTTTTCTTATATTCTGTGTAAACCGTGTCTTGTGATGTGTGTTCCCTTCTTAACTGCGAGTGTTGTAAGATGAATAATCTTAACAAGTTTTAGTGTGTGTAAATTTATTATAGTTGACAAATACGCACTTTTTAAATACTTTTTAAATAATTTTATAAAGGCAAGCAGTGAAATAGATTAGCGTAATTAGGGCATCTGATGATGGCACTATGTTGCCGAAACATGTCGTGAAGTAACAGGTGAAATTGAGTGCACTACAAGACGGCAACTGTATACATATCATGGAAGAAAATCAGTGCAACAGGAAGCTAAAATACAACATTACAAATAAAGGAATTCAGCCTGTTTCGTAGGATATTCTGTGCAAGATTTACATTATCGGTATTATACACATAATGATAATGAAGATACATTTTATTTGTCCCACTGCAAGATTGGTATCCTCAGTAAACAAACACCAACGTCATCTGCAGACACACGCAATCGGAAGGTGTGTGTGATCCAAATATGCGTACACCTGACATCTCTCGGCAGATCCCCCTCCCCCAACCAATCTGTCGCGTTTAAGCGCGTAAAAAATTATATGGAAGGCTCCATATTGTTTTAACATTTCCATGTCCCATGAATAAAATTCCAGGAAGTTGAGAAAAAAGTAATTACAGACCCTTCATTCTGTGTTCAGTACTGAATCCCAATAAGTCAATATCTCCGTATTCAAAATAACGCGACAACAGAAGTGAGTTATAGGATTACAAACTTAAAAAGAATAAATCTATTTTTGTTGTCGAACCGTCAGCTACGTTTATCAGCCAGCAGCTGAGTTGCTATCACAACTGCTGTTAATCATGTCAACTTTTCATTTCATGCTGTGAAATACAAATAAAAATGGATTACCAGTTTCGGTCACGGTTTCAGTTTTTAGCGTTGGTTTCTGATTTACATAGTGGAGAAAAACTTGCTTTGGAAGCTATTAAGATTAAAACATGACTACCCAGATTGGAGTACTGTATGTGGGACGTATATTTGTTATATGAATTCATAAGTCCATTTTATGAATGTCGGAATATTTATTATTAGTGTAACCGAAAGCATGAAAGGGGTCAATAAAAATGAGTTATGGTTAACCCAGGTTGAACACGCTATGTATGTAGCTTTATGCCCTCTTATATGGCGGAAGGCCTCTCTGTTCTTTGGTACGTTTTGCAAAACAAAAGAGTGGGAAGTCAACAACCCTGTGCCTGTTGGAATTCTGGTGATGAAACCGAGGATGTTTCAGAGGAATCTTGTAAAATGTACACAAGAAATTCCAGTGAAATATTTTTTAAGTTTCCAGCATGGTCAGCACACAGCTTGAATTGTTTGCTTATCTCCTGACCAGGCTTCTGAGAATTTCTTGAAGAAATGTCTGACCTTCTGATCCGCGTAGTTGATAGTATTTTTTCTTTGTTCACTGATAAAACTCCGTGGCCTTTAGTCTGCAAACGAACCATACCGACCGAGCGACCGCCACTTGTCGGCGAAGTTAGTGCCAACTTTTGCGGATAGAGGGTGTCGCCAACTGTCAGTTGTGTCTGTATGTCTCCCGTTTCACTTTTGAACCACATAACGAATCATGAGATTTGGAATGAACGCTGTACCATTGGAAAGCACCCCAGCACAACTGTTCAGTTTTCTGCAGTCAGTAAAAGCTGTCCACTGAACGTGTAAATATGTGAGGCAGAAACCACGCCAGTGACACATCTTATAGAAGCTTTATATGGAGTATGGCAGTTTATCGTTGAAAAATTTGCAGCATCTGTTAATGTAATTATTTGAGCAATGTAAAATAATAACATGGTATCATTTATTACTTACTTACTCACCCATGGAGCTGAGCCTTTCTTGAGGAACTGCCAATTCTGCAGCTACTCAAGAATATCCCAGCATTTTATGGAACCCGAAGGTTCATTACCGTGTTCACAAGAGCCCTCCACTGGTCCCTATCCTGAACTCATTTATTATTTTTATTAATTTAATTTAATTTGCGAGATACTGGTAAAGTATCTTTTAATGTAGGTTTAATTGAGGTTATGCTTTCATAGAATATAAAATGACACTATGCCGTTGCAAAAAAAATATTTGTGTTTCTCTCTGATGGTTAGTAATATGATCATTATGGAAATAATACCAGTCCCTTAAATGTGACTTTTAACTGATATTTGTGAACTCTGATTTAATATGTTGCAGAATAGGGTAATGAGGATATTTGGACCTGAGAGATAAGTTGCAGGAAGTTGCATGTAATTGTTTAATGGAAAGTTCCATAATTTCTATTTCGTGCCATTTTTTATTCAGTGTTTCCACTTTTATGTGGATTGTCTAGCAACCAGGCCTATGCATGTGTCTCTTCCAAATCTCTTTGTCCCAAGTTGTGTCACATGTTCTTTGCTGCTGCATAACATTATTATTATTATTATTATTATTATTATTATTATTAGAGGGGGTGGGTTTCCCCATGCACCGCGACCAGTTTCATCTATTGTGCGTCCCCCTATAATCTTCTACCAGTCTCTATACCCTACCTGTATTGGTGCTTACCATCAGTCCCTACTCAGCCAGCGAGGTCGGCCTCTACTGGCTCAGAGGTATCTCAATGCTTCCCCCATCTACCAGAGGCGTTAGAGATTACTGTTGGGCGGGAAATGCCCTTAATTTAGCTCAGTGGCCTCCCTTGGAGACATGAGGTTCTTTTACATGCCTTAAAGCTACGACATGGGACCCATGGCTTAAAGTCCCTCCCGGAGGACTTGTTCCCTGAATTTTTCCGCCCTTAAAAATTCCACGACCTCCGCCGGGTTTGACCCCATGTACCTTGAGTCATGAGGTGGGAACGTTACCCCTAGACTACGGAGGCCGCCTGCTGCATAACATATTTTCATAACATGTTGTTCCTGTCTTGATCTCAGCATAATTTGTGCTATTCGCCAGATATTATTAAGCTCATGAAACTGAGGACCATAAGATGGGCAGGACATGTGGCATACTTGGGGAGATGAGAAATTCATGCAGAATGGTAGTCAATATATTTGGAGGGAAAATGACACTTGAGAGAGATAGGCATAGACAGGAATATAATACTAAAATGAATCTCAAATATTAATTGAGTTTTCAGGTTGTGGGTTGAGTTCAACTGGTTCAGAATAGAATTCAGTGGCAGGCTGTTGTGAAAAGGGTAAGGAATCTTCAGGTTCAATAAAAGGCACATAATTTTTTCTAGTGTTGAGTATCTCTCAGTTTCTAAAGGAAGACTGTGTTCCATTCATTTAGTTAATGGGAGGTAACAGTTTGTATCCTGTTATACAGTCAGGCTAAATGTAATTTGTTTGGAATATAGTTTTCTGTGTTTTGAAACATCTTCCAAGTTTTGCATCTGGCAATAATAGAAAGCAGTAGACCATAAAATTATGTAATAGCATGGCATAATATTATCATCGTATTTTCTGTTATATATCATCCTATCCCTTCCTCATATATAGCACAATTGCATAAGGTGGAAGTGTGGTGCTTCTCCAGATATGGTCATAAAAGCATAATGCTAATATAAACTGCTCCATATATGTTACAGAACATCCAAGTCAGATTCTGCTCTGCGAGCTCTAGCCGGAAGTTTTGCACCACCACGTACTGAAAAGACTCGCACTGCCAGTGGACCACCAATGTTATCAGATGACATGTCTACCCCTACCACTGAGCCAGAGGTAACTTCAGAATATAGTATGGCACATTTTACATCATTACTCAAGATCTGTGGTTCTCATAGTGGTAACTATGAAGACTAATGTCTTCTGAAATATGATGCCATGTAGTCTGGTAGAAATTTATGGACATTCCAGAGGAATGTGCTACCTCCATCTTCAGAGTAGAAAAGGTTTTTCTACCCTGAAAATGGAGTCAGTATGTTCCTCCAAAACATCAGGAAACTTCTGGCACACTGTATGACATCACGTCTCAGAAGACAACGATCTTTACCGCATTAGATTCGCTAAGGAAAGGGTATATTTCTTTCTGTTTGCCTGCCCATTCACTTTTGCTGTTGTTGCAGTAGATTTATAATATAACCATGAAATGTGAATATTAGCTGTAGCAAGCTGAAGCAAAGATAACTTTACTGTAAATATCAGTGCAAAACAAGACTGCAGAGAAGAAAGTCGTCTTCTGTGTTTTGGCGCCGTGTATTCTTCGTTTTGGCCGACGTTTCGGAGGAACGTATCGCCTCCATCTTCAGAGCAGGTGAATGGCTTGGAATTCAGAGAGCCGAAACGTCGGCCAAAACGAAGAATACATGGCGCCAAAACCCAGAAGACGACTTTCTTCATAGTCATCGCCGTGAAAACCTCAAAACTTACAAAGACTACAGAGAGTTTAGAAAAGAACAAGACAGTGACAGTCTGAAATAGTTTATGAGCCACTGTTAGTCTGCTCTGATCTAATATCTGGATTCTGTCATTTCAGTCTTGTATTTCTGTTTTCAGCTCCCACCTGCTGAAGAAGGTTATTGTCTACGTACAAGCACTGTGGACAAATTTGACATCCCTCAGCCGCATCCTCTTCCCATGCCTGAATATGGCGGTTATTTTGCTCCACTTACTGAATACTTGCCGGACAGCTCACAGCCAATAAGTGGCTTTCATAGGTATGTCTTAATACAAATATAAAATCACTAGTCATAACAGTTTACATTTTATAATTACTCGAGTAGAAAAAAAATAATGAGTAAGTCAATTTTCATGACTCAAGGTACATTTTGGTTTATATCTCATGGTCCTTCTGTTAATAATATGTGAAATGAGATTGATTTATGAAAGGGATGAAGATACGATTTTTTTATATAATTTTTGGGCTTTTGGTAGTGAGGTGTTAAGTTACCAGTAATGAACGTTTAGATATAATTTTTACATCAGCTGAACAGACTGTATCATCATCAGACAACTAAACATTTTGATAGTATGCACAACAAATATAGAAGGAATCTGTACCTTGTATGCTCAGTACTGTTTTTCAAAAGTCAGTGCATTTGTAATAAGTAAGGCAAATGAACTTAAGCACATATAAGATTATCCTCTTTCTAGTCACTGAATTGTGATTTTCAGTATTACTCATCATAATATGCAATATAAATGCTTGATAACTGTAAAGAGTTATTGCATTATACCAGTTTTAAAATGGACGTAAATATTATGTTTAGTAAGAGGTTGATGAACAGTGCAAACTGATTGGACTAGTCTTAGCATCTGAAATAGAAACTGAAATCAAACCACAGGTATAGAATGCTGCTTTATTGGAACACTTAAGAAGTTTAGAAATTCGTCATTTAATGTGTCTCCAGTTACTTTTATGGCTAGTTTTCAAGTAAAGTTTAAGATTCCTTTGTAACACACAACACAGCATCAAGAAAATAAAGAATGTCTGATTATTGTCAGTTGTCGCCAAATCCTATTCACTCTTATCTTATTTAACATTGTCTCTGAACTTTTATGGATCCCCACTTTCTGTCATATTACGGGTTTCTGGGTTACTATGATGTGTGATGTGATGCATTGCTGGAAAATCCTGTCTCCATCTTTATGGTTGGAGTGAAGTTGGGAAAATGGCTGGTTATATAGGAGAGGTAGGGTAGGTAGGAGGATGGGAGTGGCTAATCAGGGCCAGGGACAGGGAAGAGGAGAAAGGGATCCCAAATAGGCAGTGGGAATTGTAGTCCCTGAAAAGGCTAACTAACGAATGACCACAGGAAGGAAGAAGTAACCAAAGGCCATGAGTGAGGGAAAGTCAGATCAGGCCTCTTCTTTGGAAGAACTTCCTGGATTATTTATGGTTTGCATGAGAGACTTCCATGAAGTGTTTAGTAGGAAACCATCTTCTCTGTTTATGTTGCTGGGTTGGACGTCAGTCTCTGCAGCTTCCACGATGATGCAATGTATGTGTCTCCACCTCTTTTGTAATACTTGTATTGTCCTAAAATGTATGATTTGGTCTCCCAGGTCTCTTCTGTTTAGGTTTACTGGCAAAAAAAAATGTTGTATGCATTTCTCATCTTCCCTTTGTCTGCTACATATTTGCCCCATTTCATAGTCCTTGGTTTGCTCAACCTAGTAATAGTTAGTGAAGACCACAGGTTATGAAATAAATCTCTGTATACATATGAAAGCATTTAAAGGAATGTATGTGTAAGAATTTCTCTATCATAGGTTAGTTGGCATTAGAATCAGTATACAGTCTGTATGACACTTATGATTTCATTAATTAAAGCATTTGGTTTTTGGGAACAATTAATCATGTGGGTTAATCATTGTAATTTAAACATGATCTGCTCCAAATTAACATTCACAGTTCTCACCATCTATGTGCAACTTCATTGTTGCATTAAACTTCACATTCCAAAATCATTCGTCTCTTATTATTCGAACACTGCTGGCCATCTGTAGGTGTACAAGTTGTAGAGGAAACTGCTGCCCTCTTGTCACATGCTGCACTTTCATGTTAAAGGCATAAAATATTTATAAAGTACATTTTTTTCTNTTGTTGTGTTGGTTTTTCTTTGCTGCTGTGTGTAGCTGTTCTGCTGAAAAATGTAATACATTAATGAATTTGCACAGAGACAGTGAGAAGTGCAAGCACTAATTTAGAATATACAGTGCAGCAGGCTGCCGCAGTATAACATTGTGATTTACTTCAGCCTGTACTACAATATGTCCTTCCAGGTGCAATGTTGCAGTGATGCTTCTGACAGATGTAGTGGTGGATGGTGTTGAAGTGGACTGGTCTATTCATGTCCCTCTAATGCTCCATATCTTGTTCCTGGGACTCGATCACAACCGCCCTCTGGTTCATGAGCACTGCAAACAGTTGCTCTTGAACCTCTTGCTGGTGCTAGCAGATCATAATGATCATCTTACTGTAGCACACATTCTGCTCAATTGCAAGACGTCTCAGCTGGGTCTGGGCCTTACCACGCCTTCTTTGCCTGTCCTGTCACATGTGTTCACTGGTATGTATAGGTTATGTGCCCAGTATTTAATATGAAGATAACTTTGTTTTATTTTTAATTCATTTTATGATGTTTTTCAAATTCGATAGATTATGTAGCATCATTTAGGAGGAAGATTATGAGGTGAAAGTGGCTGTCATTTACTTCAGTGTGAGAATTGCTACATTTGCCTAAATGGAAATGCCATAGAACCTCAGTCGTAATAGACGGTAAACCACCCAAGACTTGAACTAACTGTGTCCTGATAAAAGCCAGCTCAGTGTATAATTATGAATATCCAGAATTTGCTCACTCAGTGTGTCATATTTTATGTTATCGGTGACTTCAGCTTTTTAGTGTCCATGTTGTAAAGTGTACAACACAAATGAGGTACAGATAGTTCCATATGTAAGAGAGCGCTATTTCTTAATGTCATAGTATTGTATTGATAAGATGCCCATTTTGAATCTTGACTGGGATGCTGACTATTCTGGCTGAAGGTTTGTTTGTGTGTTTGCGTGCTTGCGTGCAAGAGAGATTTTGCTCAGTCCTTCAGGCATATTCTGGGATAGGCCTTGACTACTTCCATCCACATCATTCTCAATTTATTATACACCATCATACAATTGTTTGATGCTGTGTAGTCTGAGTGACTGACATTCGCATTAAGTAAATTACTAGTAAACAAGCATGCATGCCCAGCCCAAATGTTATGACCACATCTTTACCATATCCACAGTGACAAAGCACATATCATACGATAAATAATCAAACTGCTGAGGTGAAACAGCTGTCACTAAATGTTCAGGGAAGGATGGATGAGGGTGAACTAACAAGAAAATTGTAGTGCTAGATGAAAATTTCAGTAGGCCTTTCCTAATGGCTTTACAGAAAGACTACTCCAGATCCATGTGGCTCAGTAAAAACATCACTGATGTTGAGATAATCAGATAAAGCTAGAGAAATTAAACACATTGTAGGTGAATCAGAAGTTTGGTATCAAATGGCATTCCAATGTGTACTTTGAGATATGCATTGTTTAACTCTCATGTAATTTTCCTTCTTATTTCCAGAACCCAACCCTGAGTTTGACAGTTACTTGCAAGGACCTGTACCAACTGCAGTGGCTACCACAGTTGTAACGCTGCAAGCAAATCCTTTGCCTGTCATTCCTGTAACATCTGGTGGTGAGTGTTAACAGAGATGGACAATGATGGATCATATTTGTAGACCTTAAATATTAAGGTTAAGGCCACCCACTTTTTTGCCTACTTGAAGAGGAATCAGTTTATTGTTTAAAGCTGTTACTTTGGATTTTGTCCATTGCCCAAATGTAGTAACACCAAAAAATTTGGAAATTGGTTCTGTTTCCATCTTCAGATGAGCACGATGTGAAAGGAAACCTACTCTGTTGGGTTCATTGGTAGACATACTTCTTGAACGATGGTCCATTGTGCAGATGCTTTCATCCTGTTTCAGAGAGATATTCTGTACAGCATTTAATTCTATGCGGTTCCACATTTAATGGTATAAAAAGTTAACTGCCCCACTATGATATTAGTACCAGCAGTGAATAAACAGTAATACCAGTGAGATAGTACATACAGTCACAAAGAATGCAGTTGGAAAGTATGTACACTGCTCTTAATGTATTCTGCGATCTCCTAAAATTACTGAGAACAATCCCTGAAATGTGCTTGGTATCATATTGAACATCCAGAATTGCTTTGTATATTTTTGTATCCTCACCATTCATATTCACATCATGCAGGTACAAGATAATTGGGTAATAATATTACATAATAACCTCCTGGAATTTATTTTTACTGTTTTATTGTTCTGTAGTGTGTTATTCTCTGATTTCTGATTTTATGTCTGTACAGTAGATGGGAATGTTGTTGCTGTAGCTGCACCTCCTGTCATCATAACACCAGAAGATAGCACGACATGGACAGGACCACAACCTGGGCCCAATATGCCAATTCAGGATGTGATAAAATCTCTTATCTTGTTCCTTGCCTCCAGGTAGGCTGATGAAGTTGTGACAAACATCTCATAGCAGAACCCAGAGGTTCAAAATTTCAAATACCAAAACCCACTATTGAATATCCTGAGCCAGTTTCATTTACCTTGCATTCCCACAACCTACCTCATGAAGATCTGTATGTTGTTCTTCTGTCTCCTCAGCTTTCCAAGTGAGTTTCCCAAGAGGTAAAGTTCATGCACCATAAGAACACTACTAGAGTAACTGTGTGGGCATGTCGTAGCGTAGTTGGTTGAGGGGCTATACTACAAGCTGGAAAATCGTGGGTTCAAGTCTCGATCAGGTCATTGGATTTTTTTTCAATTGACCTACTCCTTCCAGCCGCACTATGGCCCTGGTGTCGACTCAGCTTCTAACAGAAATGAGTGCCAGGAATTAATTAAATAATTTTCCTGGGGAGTAAAGTGCGGCCGGCGCGTAAGGCTGACAACCTTACCGCCTTCTTTGAGCCAATTGTCTAGATAATGTGGGACCCTCAATGTCTCACAACCCTATGGGCCTCCACGGCCTGTTACAGGGATAGTTTTACTTTACTTTCATGCCAAACAGTAATGGACATCTGTGTGTCTCATAATAAATGAGTTCTCACATTGGTATAACGAATAAACATGCAAGAAGTAAGGCCGCATTTGAGCTGTAATGAAAAGGGAATTGTTAAAGCTCATAATTGACTCAAGATCAGCTTGCTGACTGGCAGTGGGTAAATAACTGCAAGTACTTGTAAGCTCTGTCCAGCATTGCAGCATCTTCACAAGTTCTTCTTTTATCTCTCTGTTCATATCTTCATCTTCCATATGTTTCCACTTTATGGAGGCTGTCTAGCAACAGACCTACTCCATATGTCTCTCTGTTACTCCTTTCTTCCCATATTCTTCTTTACTTCTGTGTGGAATCACAAGTTCTTCTTTTATCTCTCTGTTCATATCTTCATCTTCCATATGTTTCCACTTTATGGAGGCTGTCTAGCAACAGACCTACTCCATATGTCTCTCTGTTACTCCTTTCTTCCCATATTCTTCTTTACTTCTGTGTGGAATCTTTTCTAACATGTTCCCACCTTGAACTTAGTCTTCCTGTTGGGTGTTTTCCCTTTAATTTCACATTGAAAACCTTTTGGATTCTGTCTCTATGCTCATTATTAATGTATATAATTCCATCTTATTCCCTTAAGTCTTCCTGTTGGGTGTTTTCCCTTTAATTTCACATTGAAAACCTTTTGGATTCTGTCTCTATGCTCATTATTAATGTATATAATTCCATCTTATTCCCTTAAGTCTTCCTGTTGGGTGTTTTCCCTTTACTTTCACATTAAAAACCTTTTGGATTCTGTCGCTTTGCTCTTTATTAATGTATATAATTCCATCTTATTCCCTTATTTTCTTAATCTTGCCAGGTTCTCTCTTCATATGTTTCATATTATTAAATTTGTGTGAATTATTGAATGTGAACTGATATGATAAGAATGATCTGTCATCCCATTTTCGCTCAAGAGATATTGAATTTGTAGAATACCCTGTGAAATTCTTGGTACTGTATTAACATACATGGTTGTATGCTGTTCAATGTGTGTGTTTGGTTTTACATAGTATGTGTTACTGTTTATTTGAGTACGGCACAAATTGTATTTTCTTTGTTCTTTTAGGCTGAATCAGCCTCTTTGGAACTATGAAGATATAACAGCCAAGGTCTGGTCAGTGAGGAGTGTAGAACAGCTTGATACTTTCCTTCAGCATGTGCTTAGGGTATTCCGAGACTCTTTGCCCCATGCTCTCATCAGTGAACGTTGGGCTCAGACTGCTCTCCAGCTTGGACTGTCCTGTTCTTCTCGCCATTATGCTGGGCGCTCCCTGCAGGTATTTCTCTGAAATATTGGAAGTTCATGTACAAGTGTAGTAAATGTAGTTTCTAGGACTGCTGCAGTAGTGCTGCTAGTATGTCTTTACACACAAGGAACTCTTGTGAACTGCTGAAATGTTTTCCTTTCAATGAAATTTTTGTGGTGTGAAAGATAATTAACTTATGTTGTCTAGGAATCTTCTGTTACTTCAGTCTTGACAACATTATGTTTGTTACTATCATCATCATCATTTTCACAATTATGGTATATGATATAAGAAATTTTATATTTTTCACAGGTATTTCGAGCCCTTCGTGTGCCCATAACATCACGGATGTTGTCAGATATATTGTCTAGATTAGTAGAAACAGTAGCAGAGCAAGGCGAGGATATGCAGGTAAAAGTCAAACTTTTTTAAAGCACAACTGAAATCCTTATGCTTATAGTGTACAGAGGTAATCTGCTCAAACTGTAGGCCTATATATAAGAAGATTGTAAGTGCCAGAACTGCTTATGGGAAGAATAGTGGATATTAGATCTGTATGAAAAATTAATATTGGAAGATCTTGATGATTCATAACATATAGGAATGTCTTCATTTGTACACAATACAGGAATATATGAGCTCATTACTAAAGTTGTGACATAAATGCACTAAGTATTGAACATGAATATAAATAAAATGACAACAGTAATAATTATAAGAAATTTAAACAATGTTATATAGATCAGAGTTAATGATGCAGTAGTCACAGAAGATGTTAGTAAATATGTATATCTGTGCAGTGAAATTAACACTACAGGAAAAATTGAAGGGCAGATCAGTAATTGAATACAGTGAGTTGAAAGGGGTGGGGAGGGCTGCTGTGGAGTGTATAGATTTAACATAAATTTCAGATATGTAAGGTATGTTTTAAGAATTAACGTATGGTTGTGAAGCATTCACATCTGAACAAAGAGATAAAAGAAAATACAAGCAATGGAAATAAGTTTCTTACAAGGTATATTTTTTCCTCTCTGTATTGTTTATTTAATGATGCTGCGAGTATCTAGGATGTGTAGGATCAGAAGGTAGGACGGTTAATGAATGATGAACTGGAAAGAATTTGGAAGTTATCATGGCCTAATTGAGGTATTATTCTGGAATTGACCTTGATGGACTGTGGGAAACCCAGAAAAGACCTCTGTTAGGATAGCCAGTGTCCTGGCCAAGATTCAAACTAAACACCTCCTGAATACAGTTCCAGAGCATTGCTGCTTTGCCATCCCAAAAGTTAGAAGAGCTAGAAATAGGTATGTAGCCAAGGAATAGGAGTTTAAGGATCCTTAAAATTGGAAGGATTACAGTGGTTTCAGCATGTTAAAATTATGAAGAAAATCTTCAAAAGTTAAAAGACTGAAAGGGCACCTTGGGTTGGGATAGCACAACTAAGAAGCTGATAATGTTAGAAGCAGAAAGAGAAAAAAAAGGTATGGCAACAAATATATGAATGTTTTTCGTGCATTGACCATCCCATAATAGAAATGTGAGGGCAGATAGGAGGAGGCGGAGGAATAGTAACAGAAGAAGAATAAACTAAGCATTCACGGATTATGTCATTTCTTCACAAGCCTTTGAAATGCTTTCAGTGTTTTCTTAATTTTTCTTTCTTGTATTATTGTTGTATCAGAACTAGTGTACGTGGTCTACATAAATCAAATCGGATTTTTCTGTTTGACATTACTAGAAGCAGGTAATAAAGAGGTTGCAAAAATACACACATGAATGTGTGCTGATAGTCCTCACATCTTGCAGTTTTATATTAATACATGACAGTAAGTGCCTTACATTTACAAGAATGTTCATGAAGACAACCTATTAAGAAGAAAAGGGAAAAGTAATTATTTATGAGAATTTGTCTTGTTCCTATTATGTATTAAGTGTGTTTATCCTGTCTAGAATATCCGGCAGTTTGTTTATAAGTGCATTTTGATGTCTGTGACATGAACTTTTGTGTCAGGGTTATGTCACAGAACTTCTGCTGACATTGGAAGCTGCTGTAGACTCTCTGGAGTCTGACTTCCGTCCATTAGACTTCATGAAGGAGATCTTTAAATCCACACCTAATCTCAACAATAAGGAGCCAGTAGGAGCTGCTGCAGTTGTGGGTGGTAAACGCAGTCCTGGCTGTGGTGTGGGGTATGTGTGCAGTGCAGGACCCTTAGCCCAACACCTTGGTCAGGCTGGACATACGCGTAGTACCAGCTACTCAGTGTCATACTGCATGCGTAAAGCTTCTGGATCACCCGCTACTGATAACAAAGGTACCATGCATCCCATATGGAATTGTGTTGATAAGAGACATTGAGAAACTCTTCACTGTGTAACAACTCTTGTATCCAGTATAAAAAAAGGACTGTGTCTTTAGTCTGCAAGCGAACTATACCGACTGAGCGACTGCTGCTTGTCGGCAAAGTTAGCGCCAACTTTAGCGGGTAGAGGGTGTCACGTGGTCAGCGCAATGGATTCCCATGGCCTTTAATCTTCACTTTCTAGACCGGTTGTATTTAGTATCAGTTAGAAAAATATTATATATTTGTTTTATGAAGATAGATGAATGTATAATGATAGCTAATGAATCCTTTTTGGAGTTCAGCTGTTTATGAACCACAGTAACAATCAGAATTGTATTCACAAAGAAGTTAGGATCAGTTTAAATTGCAGGAAATGTTTCTATCACTCATTTCATAATATGTATTTCTGTCTTCTCATCTCCTACTCAGAAACCTGAATATTAAAACATGGGTGTGGCCAAAGTCAGGACACAGTTGAAATGAGGAAAGCGGTTTGCTGCTAGCTCACACATCTTTACTGATCTGTCATAATTGTCTTTGAGCAGCCCATGAACTAAACTTGGGATGTAAGAGTTAAATTTGTGTTGTTGAAGAATATAGTCCAAGGAGCAGTGTTTAGTACACAATTGAAGAGACGCCTCTTACATAAAATTTTCAGGTCTCCTTGTTACAGACATAACATTTTCTTTGGTTCTCACAGATCTTGGTGTGTCACATTCTTGGGTGTCTAAAACAATGTTGTGCTCCTCAAATCTGTGTTGTAGATGATTTAGGTTAAATTCAAAATTCTCACTGCCATTTCTCAAAACAGACTTGGCACCTGCTTTGTCTCTTTGCTTATAAAAGCATATTTAGGAGGAAGAAACTGACTATGATGCACACAGTCCTGTGGTTCAGTGAACAGGTGGCGATGACAATATGAACTAGTTAAAACCTGTATTCATTTCATTCATCCGTAATCTGTCAGACGACACATCCACAGTCTCTTCCAAAACAGTTCCTCCACTTAATGCGATCCAGAGTCTCCTTCAAATAAAAATATCTTCTGTCCCCCAAAAGTCATCCAGCATCTTCTTACATCTTCTTCCTCGTCTTCTGGTTCGCATACATGGTGTCTCTGTTTTTGGAAAGACTATCCAAGAAAAGTGATAATGTGGTAGTTTTTCCATTTGCTTTCCACATCGCAGTACAGCAGCCGTTCAAACCACTCTGATCACGCCTGTTGCTATACGAACTTGAACCATTTCGAGCATCATTTGCTCTGTGCTTCAAGTCGCTGCCGATGATGCTGCTTTCGGCATCAGTTTTTGGTTTTTGGTGTCTCTCTTCATCTGATGCCTACCCTTTGACCTGTCCAGCAAGGTAGGCCCTGCCAGTAGCTACGCTACCGCTGGTATAGCTCTCAGGGTCAGACCTGTATATGCCCAGAAAAAGAAAAGTAATGTACATGAAAGCTACAGTGTGTATCCTGACTTTTGTACCACCCTGTACAAAAAACTTAATTTTATATATCTTTTTTTGTGAAAGTTTATATGGGCCCTTGATATGTTAAACACTCCTCTCTTTCTTAAGAAACTTTATAACAGTTTTTTAAGGTTTATTCCTCCTCCTTGATAGTTATGAGTTGTGTTTGTTATACTGAACTGTATTTCAGATATCCGTGGCCGCACTTCATCAGAATTAGAAGCCCGCTCAGGTTGCAGCCTCAATAAATATTCTACAAATCTCTCCCGTTCACGATCAGCACAGTCATTAAAACTGCTGGGTGACTCAGCTACACAGGATGACAAGATGACTATCTTAGCCCAGCTGTTCTGGTTGTCAGTTTCTCTACTTGAATCAGACTATGAACATGAATTTTTGCTGGCATTGAGATTATTAAGTCGGGTCTTGCATCGGCTACCACTGGATCGTCCAGATGCTCGTGACAAAGTAGAGAAACTGCAGGCCCAATTGAAGTGGACAGCATTTCCAGGAGTTCATGCTTTGCTTCTGAAGGTATTTCATTTCGCAACAGAGTTACTAGTAAATTTTAAGCTGTTTAAATTTTAACACAAAATATGCACATAATTATAGGCAGTGACAGTTTTACTGTCATTTGTAAGAGGTCATTTAATTTTGGGAACACTGTATATATGTTTGACCACCGTAGTAGAGGTATTTTCCCTATGTAGAAGTGGGTTACAATGCCTCCACCATAGCCCTGCGAGTCTTAGAAGGTGACAAAAAGGGAATCCAGTACTTGGGGTTATAAGTCACAGAGACCTGGTCCTTTAGGCTGGGGTTTGGACACAAGGCTGATTACCTTGCTGTCTAAAAAAATACTGTTGCAAAATCCAAAGAAGTGGAAACTGGATGGTCTAATTCCCAGGAATGAGCAAATCTAACATAATCTTTGAAGGAATGCTATTGCTCAAAAAGGGCTCTTTTGCCAGCGATGGTGATGAATAGAGGTACACAGAAAGTGAAGCAAGGAAGTTCTTAGTTCTCTGAAGGGTTTCAGCACAGTGCAGCTATAAGCACATGGGAACTGTAATGACAGCTTGACATAACTTGATCTAGTAAAGTTTATTTTTTCATGTGTATGCATTATTCTTAATGTCTGCAGGGCTGCACCAGTCCTAACACATATGAACCAGTTGTAACATTGCTCTCCCAGTTCACTCCACTGCTGGACCTACCTGTGGTGGATCCTAGTCAAAGCTTAGCATTTCCAATGAATGTTGTAGCGTTACTTCCTTATATGTTGCTCAACTATGAAGATGCCAATGAACTTTGTATTCGTAGTGCAGAGAATATCGCTCAGGTAAGCTTCCCAAATTATTGCAATGTATCCCCTTGGTAGAGTATATGTATTATCACAAGTTTGTTTATTTAATTTAAGTGTTAATCTGTTTTTAATTTAAAACTGACTAACTTCATGGACCAGAATAATCTTTCTTGAGAAGTTGATATTTATTTAGTTTATAAAGAAATCCTTTCCCTTTGCAGAACCAGAGGTCCATTACATTGTCCACAAGAACCCACCAGTGGACCCTGTCTTGAGCCAGTTGGATTCAGTTCACAGTCTTTTTCTCTGTATTCATATCAGTATTATCTTCTCACTGGTCTGTAGATCTCTGAAGTGTCTCTTCCCTTCAGATTTTCGGTTTTTATCAAGACGCATATTGACCTTGGAGAATGTGAAAAATAAGTGATATACTTTAGTGAATATTACAATCTGTGTGCAGTGCATAAATATTTTTTTCCTGTTTAATAATGTTGTGATTCTGAAGATGAGGACATGTTATATCTGAGGGATAATTGGCAGGTTCCTGTGTTTGGCTTTGAAACGGAGAATCCTTCTCAGTGAAGTCTGCATAGAATTATTTTTTGCTGAAATAGCATGCAGATGGTGGAGATTGGCTCTTACATATCTAGTTTTCTGCACTACTTAAAATGTTCATATTCTTGCATAAAATGAGATAATATTTCCATATTATTAATGTACAGAATATTGAGACACTCTGGTGAGAAATACCAATCTAATTAGCTCTTCAAACATGCAAAACGTTATTTGTTCTGTTGTAGATATTTTAATAAGTTGATTCCATGATAACTATCATAAGAGAATGTTACTTACTTTATAAATGTGTTCCATGTATATTTTTCTGTTCTGTGTATTGGTGTGTGAAGTTGTGGACTGATTTAAATGGTTCGAGCTAGTTTCCATTGGCACACAGTAAACTGTTAGGCACCATAAGAGCAGGCAGTATTCTTGATCAACTGAGCAATTGTGTATTTTTCAAGGTAGATCTTGTACCACTGAATTAGTTTAGAAAAACAGAGTGACCTTGGGTTAAAGCATTAATGATGGCATTGGTTTCAGGCAAGCACTGAGAAAAGTAAGAAACTGGAGAACTTGGGAACAGTGATGACACTATATAGTCGTCGTACATTCAGCAAAGAGAGTTTCCAGTGGACGAAATGTGTCGTTAAGTACCTGTATGATACTTATGCACATCTGAGTCTCAACATGCTGGCCTTCCTAGTTGAGGTAAAGTCAGCCACTTTGTTTTCTATACTGTGCCTTACTGAACATCACATGAAACAGCTGGAATTAGAACATCTTCACTTAGAAAATTATAATTTAGGTGCTAGATACTGTAGGAAAACACTGGAGAAAGGAGGAGTGAGTATTTTTGTACATGAAAACCTAAAATTTACTAAAATAAATTTAGAAGATTATTGCAAAGACCAGGATCTGGAAGCATGTGCTCTAAAGTTAGACTCTCCTTTTTCTAATATTTGTATACTGACTTTATATAGAGCCCCATCTGGAAACTTCAATCACTTTATAAATAGATTAGAAACCATCCTAAATGTACTGCATAGTTCAAAAGTTGAATTTATAATTTGTGGTGATATAAATATAAACTATCTCATCGACAGTAATAGGAAACTAAATTTAGACTCTTTGTTATCATCTTACAATCTCTCCAGTACTGTTAACTTTCCCACAAGAGTTCAAAATAATTCTAGTTCAGCGATAGATAATATATTCATTGATAACTCAAAATTAAGAGACTATACTGTAGGACCCTTTATAAATGGCTTATCCGATCATGATGCTCAACTCATAGAAATAAATAATATTGACCTTCAGCCCAGTAATCAACAATATCAAACAGTAAGGAAAATCAACAAGCATACGATGGCAGATTTTGTCACAAAATTAAGTAATGAATCATGGGACAATGTATTTGACAGCAATAATATTGATTCTAAATTTAATTGCTTTCTGAACACATACTTGAGGATCTTTTATTCAAGCTTTCCCTTAAAAATAGTCAAAAATGAAAATAAAAACAAATCCACCTGGATAACAATTGGAATAAAAACTTCATGTAAACACAAAAGACAACTATATTTGGCCAGTAGGGACAGTAATGATCCAAGACTAAAAAGTCACTACAAAATGTACTGTAAAATTTTGTCAAAAGTCATTAAAGAAGCCAAACAGAATAACTATAACAGCCAAATTCTAAAATCAAACAATAAAATTAAAACCACCTGGGATATTGTGAAAGTTGAATCAGGAAAGAAATCTGTTAATGAAGACGTACAAAGTTTGAATATTGAAGGGAAGTCCACTAACAATCCACAAGCTATCGCAAGTGCATTTAATGAATATTTCCTTTCATTAGCTGAGAAAACATATTCTAATAATACTAATAATAATAATAATAATAATAATAATAATAATCCAATATACTATCTGTCTCGTGCCTTTAACAATTCATTTCCAAATATCAATCTCAAATTCTCAACAAGGAAGGAAATTGAAAACATTATTAAATCCCTTAAGCCCAAAAATTCACATGGATATGATGAAATCTCTACCAAATTACTTAAAGCAAGCTCTGTTTACATCAGTTCACCCTTGAATCATCTATGTAATAAATCTTTATCATCAGGTACTTTTCCTCAACGCTTAAAATACGCTGTAATGAAACCACTTTTTAAAAAAGGAGAGAGAAAATGCATCTCTAATTACAGACCAATATCCATATTGACTTCATTCTCAAAAGTCTTTGAAAAAGTTATGTATAATAGACTACTTGAACACTTAAATTCTAACAACATATTAGTCAAAGAGCAATTTGGATTTAGGAAAGACCTAACAACAGAAAAAGCAACCTATGAACTAACTAACGATATTTTAAGTGCTCTCAATGACAGATTAATTGTGGGAGGGATTTTCTGTGATCTAGCAAAAGCTTTCGATTGTGTTAATCATGATATCTTACTATCGAAATTAAATTTCTATGGAATAACTGGCAAAGCTAATGAATGGATCAAATCATACCTCAAAAACAGGTATCAAAGAGTTGAAATAAATAATAAAAACTCCAGTCATAATGCATTTTCAAACTGGGGAATTATAAAGCACGGTGTTCCACAAGGATCAATTTTAGGTCCCTTACTTTTTCTTCTCTACATAAATGATCTATCTAAAACCATCAACAATAAATCTAAACCAATTCTATATGCAGATGACACTAGTATAATATTTAAGAACTCTAAATTTGACAACTTTAAAAATGACATAAATATTGTATTTGAAGCCTTAAACAGATGGTTCGAAGCCAATTTACTCTCATTAAATTTTGATAAAACCCATTACATATCATTCACAACTAAAAACAACCACCAAATTGATCTGGACATCAGTTATGCCAACAAATTAATCTGTAAAGTACTTGATACAAAATTCCTTGGAATACATGTAGACAGTACACTGTCTTGGAAAATACATATTGAACAAATTATACCTAAATTAAATGCAGCTTGCTATGCGATGAGATCAATTAAGCCTTTTATGTCACAGGAAACATTGAAGATGGTTTACCATGCCTACTTTCATTCTATTATGAACTATGGATTAATATTTTGGGGGAACTCTTCACATAGTGTAATAATTTTTAAAATACAAAAGAATATAATTAGAATCATTACAGGATGTAGAAGTAGAGATTCATGTAGAGAATTATTTAAGAAATTAAAAATTCTACCTCTTCAATCGCAATACATATTATCGCTTCTCTTATTTGTTGTTTACAACAAAGATAAATTCAAATTAAATTCTGATGTCTATAACATGAATACTAGACAAAAATAGAACTTCCACCTACCCTCATCAACTTTTTCAGTATATCAAAAAGAGTCTACTTTACTGGCATAAAAGTGTTCAACAATCTGCCACAAAGTATTAAAAACTTGGGCAATGATACTAAAAAGTTTAAATCAGAGTTAAAGAATTATCTACATGCTCATTCCTTCTACTCTTTAGATGAATACTTCAATGTAAATAGAGAATGATGTAAAATTAAGTTATATTAATTTTTAAGCTAAAATTGCCTGTACTTATGTATGTAACCTTTTGACTTGTTCTGTATCCAAAGGTACTAACCTGCTTAGGATTTATAGAATGTAAATAAATTCAATTCAATTCAATTCAATTCTAGATTGATATAGAGGGATCTATATAACAGTGAGTTATTAGGTGCTAGTAATATGAAACACAGAGTAGTCGAATATCTGTTTCACTGCAGTCAGCAGTGGCCATCAGTTACTTTTTCATTAAACATGCCTAAAAAATTATTCAAGTCTGAAACTCCAGTTATAAAATGATGCTTGCTGTATTAATTTTGTTTACAGTGCCCTGAGTTTTTATTTGTGTGGTATAGCTTCTGTCAAAGATAATATAGTTTCATCTAGAAGGTAGAAGATGAATAGGTCTAGTCTGGTGTGAGTTCTCACCGTTCCACAGAACCAGTTAATTTTTGTTATGTAAATTTTGCAAAATGTCACATTTCACATATCATTACCCACATAAATGTGGACCATTCTGATTTAAGTGAATTCATTTTCATTAAATTTTTCATCTGTGTAAAGTATGTTATGATATTTTTGGGCCTCAGTTTTTTGAGTAGTTTGGAGCACTGTCAAAATCTTTTTCACTGTTGGTGAAAGTAAACAGATTTAATTTTGTAACTTTAATGGTTTATGAATGTTTCAGGGGAGATTTGTAAAAGCAGTTTTTCTTTCTATTTTAAAATTAGACAGTATTTTTGCACACATATTTTCAGTAAACCCTGTGGTTAGTTTTTCATTATGACTAGAGTATATTTCTTGTTATATATGATGTAGTATCTGTTAGCAATTTGACCTCTTGCTGATGTGTACTGTGCATAAAATTCTGGGAGAGAAAATTCTTGATAAGCAATCTGATGGTAACCACAGATATGTACCATTAATTCTTTATGGTAGAGGTGATATAAAATTTTAACTTTTGTTCAGGAGTTCATTTGAAAGCTGCAATTGAAATACTTGTATGTTAATGAAATACTTCAAAGATCATCATCTTAGAATTATTGTTTTTTGTACAGAATCCTTCATCCTGTTTTTTTTTATTTAAAAACAGCCTTTTGGAGACTGGACTCTGTCTCTGTCCTCAGGTAAAAGCCTACTCAGTTGGTCCCAGTCGACAGACCTAGTCCCTATCTCTAGACACCAAAACTAGCACAAGACAGGATATATAAACAAAGCACAACATAAACCATTAGCAGAAGGCAAAGATTAAAAAGCTCCATACCTATGGTCATACATAATAAAATCATCTTAACAATCATAAACTATAAGAAATTGTTTTCATCAGGCATAGAATTTAGGAATGAGTGAATGTATGGTTGGGTTACATTTCTTCCTTACATGAAATGTGAAGTATGGTTACACACTGCTCCAACTCCATAAACACAATTTTAGAATGCACTGTTAATGGTACCTTACCTTTACTGGTGTTACACATGACATATCAGTGTACAGGAATAATAACTAGTTGATATGTTTCTACCAGAAAACTGCTTATTTGGCATCTGTTTTACAGTTCTGCTAAGCATTCATAACATTTTTGCCACTGTTGCATTTGAATATTCTGAAGTGAAGCTTTCAGAATTGTGAATGTTTCAACTTGATTGTATCTGTAACATATGAAGCAGTAAAGGTACAAAATAATTTATTATATATGAATAACAGGTTTTGGAGAAAGGACCAACAGCAGTTCAACTTCCTGTTCTCAGTATTATCCACTGCATGTTGCATTATGTGGACCTAGCATCAGCAGCTTCTCAGCCAATCAACGCAGATTTGCTACGAGTTATAGCCAAATATATTGAGGTAAATGAATACTCTTATAAGTATCAGAATGTAGGGATAATTATAGTCCAGTGTGACGAGCTATGGGAAGCTGACTTTTACTAAGTTGCATAGAATCTCACTGTCTTTTATGGAACCTGTAAGTTCATTACCATGTTCATGAGGACCTGCCACTTGACCCTTTTCTGAGCCAAATGCATCCAGTTCATATCATCATGCCATATTTCTTTAAGATCTGTGTTAATATTATTGTCCCATCTACAGTTATGTGTAGGTCTCACTAATTGTTCCTTCCCTCTGAGTGTTGTAGTTGAAATTTTGTATGCATGTCTCATTTCTCCCATCCATTATACATATCCTTTCCTCCACAATCACCGTAATAATATTTTCTGACAGATATGAATTATGAAGTACCTCACTATGTAACGTCTTCCATCTTTATGTTGCTTCCTTTCTTTGTACTAAAATTGGATAAAACAAATTCAGTAATGCATGTTTTGTTAATATTCCATGCACTGTAAAATTAAAGGTAAAAGTTTAAGTCTCTGTGTTTAAACACCATACCATAAGCCATATGAGGGAGCTGAGATGTAGTAAAGTGGCAGGGACATAATAATGACCACTCACCTACATCTAAGTGCCAAAATTATGATTGTTTGGATTTTTTTAATTATTTATAGTTTATTTAATTATTCTGTGAGCTTCATGCCAAAGTTGCTTTGTCCCTGCTGTGAATCAAACTCAAATTCCTAAGTCATGCAGCCCATAGCCTGATTACTATACCGCTTGAGTTATCTCAGTTCTGGAATTGAAGAATTTCTTATTACAAATGCCCTCCCATAATAAAGGCTATAAGCAAAGTATCAGTATTCATGCAGAATGTAATTAAGGACCAGTTGTTTTTGTTGGACTTATTCTGGTTCATAAGGCAGAAGTCGTAGGGTACCTTTAACAGCGCCTGTTGTGTTGATAGTTCGAATGGAGCGGTCTGCTGCCTGAAGAATCTCTGGAACAGTTCTGAAGCGAATGCCATGAAGTGGTTTCATTTGTGGCTCTTATGATTTGGCCCATGTCTCATCCAGCATAATGGTACGGCGTAAGAAAGCCTCTTCTTCACGCTCATAGTGTTCCAAGTGGTTACGAGCAGCGTCGTATTGTAGCCATTTCTGCATTTCCATCAAATCATGCGGAACCGATCATGATGCAATTTTTCTCATGCCCAGGTGTTCCTTCAGAGTGTGAAGCACAGTCATATGCGCTGATCCTGTCTCTCGGGCCAGCTCACGAATCATATGGCAGCGATCAGTCTCCAGTAACACAGAAAGAGCATACACTTCTTCTTCACTGACACTAGGATGACCTGGCTGACGCATGTCTGCCACATTTTGGCGTCCCTCATTGAAGGCTTTTACCCACCTTGCCACTGTTCTGTAAGGCAATGCAGATTCCCGGCAAGCCTCTTGAAGACCTTGATGACACTGTTGTGCTGTACAGCCTCTGGCACATTCAATCTTTATTCAATTCCGTTGTTCCTGTTTCGATAACATTGTGACAACACTACATTAGACCACCAGCTAACACAAGGCCCTGTTCTTCTCGTCACTGTGCATGCGCATGATGTGGGAAGGGAGAGCCCATTTGCTCTGAGGTAAGGTAGGTATGTAACTAATGTGTGGTATAAGTGACATTATTTGGTTCCGTTGCATGGCATCTTACAGCAGTGTGGCCGCTATTAAATTTCCAACCCTCGTATATGAAGTAAATTTTCTGCTGATTTTTAGTGTGTACTTGCAAGCATTGTATAACAGTCATTCTGATGAACAGATGAAGCATGTGTGTTCTAATATATGACATCAATTTATGATTCATGTTGCTGGTATTCTTTTATTTTATACAGGGTGCTCACTATAAAGAAGCACTGAAGATATTAAAATTGGTAGTGACACGATCATCTACATTGGTTGCTCCTCCGACCTCTCTCCATGCCCCTCACTGGGAGACATCTGCTACCTCACCACACCCCTCATTCACAGACAGTGAAATATTTACTAAGAAAGAATTGCCAGGTATGTGATCATTTCTGATGACAAATGGTTTATGTCATTTCTTACCAGTGTTACTTGTATTATGGAGTAACTAGAAGCACGGTGTGAAAATGCTGTTCATAGGTTTACAGTAGTAAACCCCCACTCCAGTATGTAAGTAATTCATTAGAGAATTGTCATATCTCTCAGTTATATGCTTTAACCCTTTTGCACTCAGCCTGTTTTCCATGTGCCTGGCCTAAAACACTGAGGTGAATTTGGCTCAATTTACAAGTCTCACTTCAAAAGTTCACCAAAAATACAATTTTGGTCAAAAACATATGAAAAGAATCACGCTTATTCATTATAAACAGCAGATTTAAACAAAAATACCTTACAATACTGTAAATAATTTTAAAAACAAAATAAAACTGAAAGAATTAAATTTAGAAATTTAAAATTTACAAAATTTAGGCAAAAAATAAAAGTGTCTTTTTGGTCTTCTTTTCTTGTCACCAAGCCTCTAAGAAAGATAATATTTCTCTGTAAATTTTTATGTAAGTTTTATGCATGAAGGACTCTCTGGTCCAGAACTACATCACATCATGTTAAACAGTGCATATGTACCTTTTGCAGTTAGCATCTGTGTTTAGGGAAGCATTCTCCTTGCAGCCCCTTGTTACATGTGGTTCATATTGTTCTGGGTGTCCACCTCCTGTCCTTTGTACTGCAGACAATGCATTAGAACAGTTTCTTTTTAGGGAGTTTTATATGAGTCCTCTTGGTCCCCAAGGATCATCTGCTCCAGCGTTGTCCTTCAGCACCAACCACTCCTCCTCCAAGCTTTCAATTATGGACACAGTGTAATTGTACCTGGATTTCAGTTTTCCAGGCACCCTGTAGTTTTCCTTGTAGAGAATATAGCTATTCAAAACCATCCTGGATATGATGTTGGAAGCTACCTTTTTCCAGTAATAAACTATCCATCTTTCATCCAAATAAATGTACAGCATCATGCCTGAAGAGTCAATATCGTCCTTAAACTTGTTGTAGGATGTGATGATTTTTAGTTTTATTTGTAGGTTGCCACCATTTTTTCCCTGTACTTCCTCTTCTTGGGCTGTGGTGTGGCTGGCGAGAAGAATGACAGGATTTATTTTTATTTCTTCTCATGGAAAAAACGTGAGAAGAGACCAGATCTGCAGTACATTTTTTGTTCAACTGCCAATTTGTTCTTGAACTGCTGATATGAAAGTTTCCTGTTCCTCGTTACAGTTTCAGTGATGTAGGTTCTTAGCTGATGGAGATGGTGGGCAAGTAGAACACACATGAAATAGTTCTTGATGAAGATATGGTAGACTTTGTTGAGGTACCCTCCAATCACAAGCAGTTTTTTTTACAATGGTGTACCCCAGATCATTTTTTGGAAGTTGTCATCATCTTCCTGAAACCTGGCCCCTTCGTATGTGAAAAACCCCAAGCAGTAGTTGGACACAGAGTGGCACGACATCCAAAATTGATACCCCAATGGTGGTGGTACCCATTGAGCAAATGCTGCATGAGCCTGGTTTTGTTTTTCATACCTATGAAGCTGTCATCAACCTTGATTTCTTGATGAGGGGTGTAGTGATGCCTGAATACCCTGTTTGCATGGTCCACATGGGGTTGGTAACCTTTCACAGGGATCATAGTCTGGTTCTTTGGGGCCTGGCAATCTTTCGTTGTTTAGGTGGAAGAAGCGCAGCAAGTGGGGGGAGCGATGCTTGCTAAATATTTTCCCAGTATGATTCTGTGGTTGGATTTTTGGTTATGCCCATATTTACAGTACAGGCCAGGAATCCATTCATCTTGGGCCTAAGAATTCTGGTTCAGTTCTTTAGCGTAGTGGGAACATTACCCACATTACTGCCAACCACTTGCTGTGCATATCTGGTGGAACCTGGTCCAGAGATAGGGACTAGCTCTGTTGATTGGGCCCAACTGAGTAGGTTCCGCCGTAAGATGGGGACAGAATCCAGCCTCTAAAACATTGTGTGTTTTAAATAAAAACAGGATGATGGATAATGTCCAGAAACACAATAATTGTGTTAATATACCATTGTCACAAACTTTTAGGTCTTATTCCTAATCTTGCCTGCCTACATACAAAATAAATTAAAATTGTCTTGTTTTATTCAGGCCGAACAATGGATTTTACATTTGATCTCTCTCAAACACCGGTGATTGGACGTCGGTTCCTAGTAAAAGCAGATGAGAAGGGACCTAGTGGTGGATCAGCAGCCTCTCCTAGACGATCCCTATCTTTATCACCTGCAGACAATGCCAGTATTGCTGGCTGGAAGCGACCCTGGATGTCACAGGTACACTGTTTCCGTTATGATAAGCTTGCAGTATTATGTTACTGATATAATAAAACTATTGGTCTCTTAAACAGACAAGCTAACATGTGTGTTCTGAGAGACAGGAGTGCAGAAGCTGTCTCATTTTCATATAAAAATATGATTCTCCTGTCAGCATACACAAAAATAGCATCGAGGGTTTTCATTCTCTACAGCTCTGTCCTCATATTAGAATTCTGGTTTCTTTGTATACTAATTTGGATTTGTTAGTCCACAAGTATAGTTATGAACATCACAGTACACACTGTAGAAACTTCCTGACATGACTTCAGTTCTGACTCTAGACTATGCAATATTATATTACATTTTTATCAGCTCTTTAGAAACCTGTGCATAGGCAACCCACTGCTGCCTCCAGTTTAAAAAGGGATAGGAAGGCATGGTAAGTGAAATGTGTTAATAATTTGAAACTGAGTCTGCATCATGTCATGTTATTTTTAGGCTGGACTAGTATAATGACAGATTTTTAAACGAAGGTTCTGTCATATCAAGGGACACGAATGAAAAGGTGTTAAAAGTTACACTGCATTTTAAGTAACCATGGAGCTACATTAAAAATATTTCTTTTAATGCAGGTATAGATCACTTTTATTGAAATGGTTTGTAGTAGAACTGTGCTAGAATGACTTTTTCAGTTTGAGGTTAAATCAGAATAATTTTGGAAAATTTCCAGAATCTATACAAAAATAATTTTCTTTACTGGACCAATATTTTCATTGTTATCATTCTAACCATATGTAGCATTGCACTGGAACATATTGCCTATTCCTTTTTGATATCAGACATTGACCCCACATATAGAAATAGAGTGAGATCTCTGTGGACAGAAAGAAGGAAAGAGACAGGTTTTATATATAAGTTGATTAATGCTAATGTTGCCAACATTACAGTTTTGATGGATCACTTGTTTTGCTTGTTGCTTTACAAAGCAAGAGCAGTTCATCTGAAAATTCTCCCAAGTTTCAGGCTGAAAAGGGGATTGATTGATTGATTGATTGATTGGAAACTGCATTAGACCATTATATCGTCATATTACAAAACTGTAACAAATGACAGAAAAACAATTAAATGCCTTTTAGTCTAAGTGAGGGAATTCTACAAAGAGATAATGGTTGAAATAAGAACCAACCAAGTGGTCATGCAAGTAAGGATGGACTCAATTCAAGAAGAAATAATAGCCAAGATGGATTTCCATCAGGAAAGGCTGGAAGCCAGTATGAATGCCTGGTGAAAAGAGACAGTTGCATGCTAAGAAGTAACAGAGGCCTGTCTAGAAAAGGCAAAGGCCAACCCAGAGAAGATGAAGGCTGGCCTGGAAGAAATGGAGGTTGCCGTGAATATCTTTGAAGAATGGTTGGACAAAATGGATAATGCGGATTTGGAGACAAATCCTAAACACAAACAGACCGTAACACAGCAGAAGGATGCCCCTGATGAAGAGGCAGCATTAGATATGATTGGAGCACTGAAGGACCAGTCTGGGGACCTGCATCTGGCCATAAGGTGCCATGGACTGTTGACCTGTCATGCCATTCCTGCACGGCATAAGGGCGGCAGTCATAAAGGACCAGCAGTTGAGAGGAGACAATGGAAGTGCCTGTAATGCAACAATGGAATAAAGGACCAAGGTGCAAGGCAGCAGATACATCTGAGGAAGGAGAGGACGTTTGGCAGGATCTTCAGATAGACCGTCAAGCTGGAAATCGAAAAGCAAATAGTCAGGTCTTCGACTAGGCTACAGGAAGTGAGTGACTGAACATCATGGAGGAATCAGCCCCCTCCGAAATGAAAGAAAAGATATCAAAAGCACATCCCTAGAACAAAGGTGGTGGGGGTACACCTGGATTGGCTCACACCTTATCAGGGAACCACTCAGGATGAGCGGCTTTTAGAGGGAGCAGCAGAAGCAGTTGGAGAGTAATCACTGTGAGAAATGAGCCATGAGGAAGGAAGGGTACGTCAATCACAGATGTCACAAGCACAGCCCTCAGAAAAGAAGAAATGGTGGTATGCATGTAGGCTCCCAGGGATGAATAGCCTTAAGGAGGGAGCAATGTGACATGTAGACACGTTGCTAGGCAACAGCCATGAAACAAATAGCTGTACAGCAATCATATAGCTTCACAAACAAGCATGTTTGCACTTAAGCAATTGGAAACAGCAACAGTGAAAGGGTGTTTTCTGTGCAGTCCATGCGGACATGTTATAAGGAGGACATTGGAGTAATGAGTTAGTTGTGAGACAGTCATCAGGCAGTAAGAATGTGAGCATGGAAGGAGAAGACATTGTTGGGATCTGGTGAAGACATAGCAAAGTGAGAAAACTTTACGTGTATTGTGATTATGGTGATTTGTGGAGTGTGTAGAACAATGACAGCATAATCCTTATTTGTAGTTGAATGAATGACTATATAAGGGGTGGGCCTTCTCGGCCCTTGCACCGCAACCTACAGTGGTCCATTGTGCTTCCCCTTTTGATTATCCCCTCAGCAATCGCGTGCTTTGAATGAAGCGCAGGATTTTGTACGTTGGGGCATCAAAATAGTCACTTGGTTCCATAAAGTATTGACCCAAGTGATGTAATCTTACATAAGCTAAGGCCTCACATTCACACAGGATATGTGTGGGGCTGTTTCGTTTTCTTCCTGGCACCTCTCACAAGTGGGACTGTCACTTAGTCCCAGTTTTAAGAGGTGTCCTTTAAGGTGACAGTGTCCTGTAAGTAGTCCCACCACCCATCGTAGCTAGTTCCTGTTTAGCTTCAACAGTTCCTTCGCTCTTCTAGCAGAGGGTCCTCGTATGAGTCCCTTTGCTTGCCTGAGTCCAGTCAAGGATCACCACTATTTCTTGTGCTTCATATTTGTCCAGTCCCTGATTGCCTTTCTGGCAACTCCTATAGAGATGCCACAGGCTGGTTCAGGTCCTATGAACGGATGTGCAGCTCCAATCTTAGCTAATTGGTCTGCTGTTTCATTTCCAGCAATACCCTCATGCCCTGGCACCCATATCAGTTGTACCCTGTTATGTTTGGCCAGTTCCATGAGGGTTTGGTGGCAGTCCCAGATCAATTTTGAGTTGATCTGGTGTTTGTGAAGCGCTTTAAGTGCAGCCTGGCTGTCAGATAGAATGTAGACGTTCCTATTTCTGTAGTTTCTATCTAAATTCTCTATAATACATGCCTTAATGGCATATACTTCTGCCTGGAATACTGTTGTGTACTGCCCAAGGCTGAAACTAAGTTTCTGCCTTGTGCCATAGCAGTACACACTAGCTCCAGTGCCCCTATTTATCTTGGAACCATCAGCATACCAGATCAGTCCCCCTTTTCTATCGGGCCGAAACCCGTCTTCCCATTCACTCCTGTCAGGAAGTCTGACTGTGAAGGGTTTTTCATATACATGTCTCAGTATCATTTTGTCAGACCCCATTTGTAATATGAGTTCTTTCTTCATGTCCTGAGTTATGGATGCATGTCCGAAACTATCGGATCTAGGTTTCCATTGATCACTGCACTGGAGATGGTAGATTGATGCCCTGGCCTCTGCCTCCAACTGTAGATGCAGTGGGGGGAGTCCAAGGAGTATCTCCAGTGCAGCTGTTGGAGATGTTCGAATTGCTCCTGTGATACTCAAGCAAGCCAACCTTTGCAATTTGCTAAGTTCTGCTTTGCATGTCTTGAGTTTAACTCTGGGCCACCATACTGTGGCGCCATATGTAATTATGGGTCTTACAACCACAGTGTAACGTGCGGCTGCAGTCCCAAAGTTTTACCAAACATAGCCTTATAGGCTTTATTGATGACCTTATTTGTAGTTACATTCTATAAGTGTTCAATAAATCTGATTACCGATCCAAACCCCATCTATAGTCAATCTAAAATCGTGACAGTTTTGTTGTTCACAACAACTTAATATGAATTGGTAGCGTTTTAAAGTCCAAGATACCACTGTAATGTAATTTTGATACTTCTAAAATTCAGAACTTTTTCACTTTGAACAGGGTCGTGTACGTGAGTGTTTGGTGAATCTCCTTACAACATGTGGGCAGAGAGTAGGTCTGCCCAAGAGTCCATCCGTAAGTACTGCATTGTATGTGCTTTCTAGCTTTTTCACATTTAAGAATACTCACAATAATGTACTCAGTCTTTACTTAAACGCATGAGAAGCAAGCCTTGCTGCTGGTTCTGAGTTTGTGTGTTATATTGACTTAGAGGCATTACTGGAATGACAGTATGTTGTGTCATGTGTCTGTGCTCTTAACCTCACTCTTTATTTTTATTAACAATGATACTCATAGTTTTTAATGGGATCATATACATGTACAGCACATCCTATGCAGAAACAGTTAATCCCTGCAAAGAAAGAATAATTAGATTATGTGTTCACTGTGATTAATATGTAGCTGAACATGGCTGAAAAGAAAAAGCTGATTCCATATTGTGATTATTAAATCTCAGTACAAACATTTCTAACTTTAAGCACCTTTCAGAATTTTATGTACTCGTATAAACTGTTCTTATTTACAACATACGATTTATGTTCTGTTATCACAACAGTTTGCATGGAGTTTGTTATTATGTCAAAATTTTGTTATCAAGCCTTGGATTACATGGTTTAGTTTTGTCTGGTGAATAAATGAATTTGTTTTGCATATTAATAAGTGAAAATAATATTCATAACAGCTTTTAGTTTGGTGACTGGATTGTATGCATAAATACGTGTTTATCAAAGGACATAAAATGTCTTCAGTCATAGTACAAACTCTGCTTGATTATATTTTACTCTAAAAGTATTTGAATTTTATATCATGTACAGGGCATCGCAGTGATTATTTGAAACCTATCATGAAAACAGTTCAGCAGTAATTTTATCTCACTTTTAGTCTTCTTTCATTAGTCTAATTCTAAACTTTACGTACCCAGTTGGTATTAGCTAGCTGGCTACATGGAGAATCCCATCATCACAGTAGCAAGTGCCTCTTTAATGCACATCAGTTCATAACTGCCCTTCCACCAACTTAATATTCACATGTCTTGACACTTGAAAATTCCTACACTGTGTTAATATTGATCACACTTGCATGACAAGGTATGTGATATCTTGGTCAGTCACTGTGAATTTAATGAAGTAAGGTAAATAAAAAGTGTAATATTGCATACTTAACAGTGACCATGAACTAATTTGAGTTAAGTTTATTTATATTTTTCTTTAATGTACAATTTGATCGCTGTCTTTTCATTATAACTTTTATAAAATTAACACATCAGATTCAGAGATCATGTGTTAGGTAAGGTCTTGGAAGGTAAACAATTGAAAATAATTAAATCTAAATTAGCAGAGCATCTTCTGATTTCAGAATTTGTTTTGTTTAACCAGTTGTCTGCTTCATAATTCATTCAACATTCTGAATTTTCATTATGTTGAAGTTTTATGGTAATAAACATTTTTTATACAACACAGTAATTTATCAATTCTAATTATATGCACACATTTAAAATACAGATCTTTAATAAATATATGTGTTTAGTACTATGATATCTAAACCCAAAATGTCTTTCCTTAAGTTTCAGAAAATTATATAATTTATTTGTCCTCTATGCAGTGAAACTAGCAGACTTATAAAGAGATACATAATTCTGAATTTATACATTGGATCCCTGTGGACAGAATCTTATAATCTGCGGCAGAAGGGTTTCATGATCCGTAAATGTTATATTTCTTCACCAGAATCAACTTATCAGTTTAAGGTCTACAATATGAAAGTACCTTTTAATACATAGTGTTTGTTTCATTGAAATTTAGAGAAAAAGTTTTATTTTTGCTAACATTCTCAGTATGTAATGGTTATGGTAATGATTTTTTCTGTAGTTGTCATGTTGATAAGAAGATAATGCCATGGTTCAGTCTGCAGGAGAATGGTGTGTTAGCAGTAATAATAGTTTGATGTGTGTCAGTGATGGAAATTAATATGGAGATAAAATGCTATGGCATGGCTGGGATTTTTTTAAGGGTTCTTAATTTCAAGAAGTCATTAGTATGTAGTAAGCATTATGGGACTGCTTCCAGCTGGGCTCTGATTTTCCATGTTTCCATCACTGTTAACTAAATGCCGTAGTTTTTAATGTTTGATCTCTCTCGTTTGTTTTCCATATCTGATGGTGGTTGTCACCCTGTATCTAGGATGGTTTTATTAACACAATTAATAAGGTAAAAACTCACATAGTCATTTACCTATAAGTTGTACGATATTTATTTTCTTTTTGTGCAAAAAAGAAGCTTTTGGTGGTGGAAAGTGCATGACTCCTTGATTGTACAACACAAATGTAAATACATAATATTTATGTAGACTATTAACTACCCCAGATAAATTGTTTACAACTATTATTCTGGACTTGTTCATAATCTGGCTTCCTTTAAACCACTATGTTTTGCAAAATGATAGTTCTTAACAGTGTCACATAATCGATAACAAATTTTGAACTTAATTTGTCGCAGACAGGTTCCATGCAGAATTATAATCTTGAAAGAAACTGGCACTGTAACATTCAGGAAGATGATAATTTTTAGATTCTTACAGTCACATAATAAATGAAATGTAATTGCAGTGGAAACCTATGAACACCTGACCCAAGAATGCTGTGTCACATTCAGAGTTACTAATTCTAATTTTCATGGTTTCATTCTTACACTATTACATTACAGTATAAAAATTTCCTCACTGTGAATCTGCAAAGGCAGATCCTTTATATTTATAATTCTTGTGTGTAATTTTTGTTAGTGAAAAGGTACACATAGTTAGCATTAACTGCCAAAGAGAGGCTGGCAGATTAAGTTCATTTCACCCATTTTATCAAACACCATGTAAATTGAGAAGGAAAGATTTGCTTGCACTAAAATATTCTCAGTAAATCAGCTGCATTGAAGTTGAGTTAAAAACCAATGTTTTGGAGACTTGTTCCCAGTGTTGGNCAGAAATGGGAAAATATATACATTAGTTCTTCTGAAGATGGCCACAGCAGATTCTCACAAATTATCAGGAACTTTCTAGCAGACTACACCATGTCACATCCCAGAAGACTGTAATCTCCATGTTCACTGCCACAATAATATAAAATTTCATGTAGTGTTATTATCCAATAAGAATTGCAGTCAGGAAGAAATGTAGTTTTGCCTTTGTCTGATAATTTTGTTTTGTGTTTATAGCAAAAGAATATATTTGAACATATCCAGTGCTGAAAGACATTAATACAGGTTTCCACTGCTTTCAGAATTTGTTAGAGAACATGTCTTATCTTTCTACATGTGCAGTGCTGTTTCCTAAAGTTGTTGTTCAACACATAAATCGCAGAACACTTAGCATCCATATCAGTAATCATACATATAGCTCGCTGTTGGGTTTTAATTTCCTCATACTGTACAGATACTGACTTGGTACAGGACTAATACACCTCTATGCAGTAGGATTTGGTTGCACATGCCATTACCCATTCATCTGGCTTTGTTTGAGCATTTCTTCAACACCCAACATCCACTGTAGACATCTGCAGTCCTCATTACACATGTGTAAGAAACATTTTGTATTGCACAACTTAACTACTGTAATTTTACCATACTATCCATTGTTACATGCCTATTTAAAGAGGTGTTGATATTTCAGTCTGTGAATATTTTTACAGTGGTAGACACTGCTACCATTAAATGGTGGGAGATAAACATGATATTTCATATTCACCGCTGTGCAATCAGAAATTTAACAACTGATGTAAGAAATTCCTTTGTGATATCTTAACTCAGATGTTTGCATATAGTTATTTGATACAGTAACTGAATTGCAACGCAGTTACATCATGTTATTACATAAACTATTTATTGTGTACATACTAAAGAATAAATAAATGTTCATTTATGTAAAAAAATGCTTAAACATTAAAACATTTAATCACTAAACATTCAAAATGTTTTTCATTGATTTGAATGTTAACTTCAGTATTTATTTTGAACCACAAGACATTCCAGTGCACATGTGACAATTAAATTTGATCATAAGGCAAGGAAGGGCACACAGCTTAACTTTCATGAATCCATGGCACTGAAAAATAGTTATTGAAACAAATATGTTTTGGTTGATGAAATAAAAGAATAATGTAAACATAAATCCAGTTCTTACACAATATATAAGCAGACAAGGTCATGAGTTGAAACATTGCCAAGGTATTGCATGTGTCGCATTCAGAATTGTGGGATTCCGTATTTAGGAGAAAGAAACAGTTTTATTTGATTAGGCAGCTTAGTATCCATATTAAAATATTATCTCTGAGTTTGAGGAAAGAATGTGAATTACAGGGACATATTTAAAAAGAATGCGCACAGGAAAATAAGTAGGTGTAGTAAGCAATACATTAATTATATTGTGTAACTGGTTGCCCAGTATTGTTAGGGTAGTATAAGAGATGGAGGTGAAGATTTATGGCAAGTGGGGTGACAGGAAGTGAATATGGAATTTTGATGAGGAAATCTATGTGATAAAACTGCATGAAAGGCCAAAAGAATATGGTTGATAGTCGTAGGAATGTAGGTTGTGTGGATGGAAGTAGGCTGAAACTGATTTGGGATCATATCTGTTAGTATTTTTGGAACAAGGAGTGTTGAACCTTTGGATTGCTACCAGAGAAGTGGTTAGATGATTAGTTACTTAATTGGTCAGTAAAAGTCTATATATTATTGAAAAATGGAATGTTAAAACTCAAAGTAACTTGGTGGTGGTTGTAATGTTGGTGGAAATTGTTCATTTCAGTTATTTGAGTGTTTTACAACAGCAAGAAATCAATAAAACAACACGTTTATTTAATTTTGTTGTATTTTATAATTAAAATAATCAGTCGATTATTAGAAATGTTACATTTTTAATTAAAATGGTCATTTAATCTTTATATTTTTAGATAGCCCTTCATGAAAATATGCAGATTCATTCTGTGATATCAGAATATTAGGTTTATCCCTTTTTACCGACTTCATAGGTTATAAGAGAAACAGTTTCTTACTGTTTTGTTTCGTTTAACTAAAATTTCTAATACATACTGTCAGCATTCAAAACTCTCAAAATTGTACACAACTAATGCAGAAGAAACAGGCCACAACTTTATATAGATTCATACATGTGTACAATCTTGAAGTCATGTTGTGTTGTGTGTGTCTTGTCCCTAGTGTCTGGTTTTGATGGTACAATTTTCTTAGTATGTGGGCACTGAGAGAAGAAAATTGAACATTAGAAACCAGAGAATAATGTTTAATAGAACCAGCCTTCTTGCAGACTTTTAACACATTGCTTATGACAAAAAATTAATGTATTTTTTGACTCTGAGATGGGACATCTTCCCAGAAGCAAGTTTTAAGGAAGAATACTATGTCATTTTATTGCTTGAAGATTATGGTCTTCTGGGATGTGATGCCATGTAATGTGGTGGATAGGTACCAACATTTTGAAGGAACCTACTGCCTTCATCTTCTGTCTAGAAGAGAGTTTGGTACATATCTGCCAAACTATACAGTATCACAACCCAGAAGATCATAATCCTAATATTCACTACTATGAGAAAACAGAAATACAAATGTATATTTATGCACATTGTCATTATTTCTGTTACTCCTAGGAGGAACATAAGGCATCCACAAAGTGCCACCATTGGACCCTATTCTTGACCAGTTTTTTAACTTCATTTTATATTTTGCCTTCATTTAGAGCTTTCTCTTCTATTGTTTTCCTCCACGTTCTTCTTGGTCTTTTTCTACTTCTGCATGATATATATATATATATATAAATTTGCAAGAGATTCATAAGTCCAGACAGTCATTTTTCTGTTAGCATGTTTCAGAAGAGTGAACAAAAATATGTGCAAGAGAATTTTACCTAGCTAGAAAGGGAAGTGAATTAGAAGAGAATTTGTATTCTAACCCACTTCATTGATTAAACCAAACGAATTGTTGAATTTCTAATCTTGATCATGGATTGGCTACAGAGAACTTACCGTCAAAATCGTTAGGGAGAAAAATGAAAGGGAACAAAAGTGTTTCCTTTGTTTTTCTGTTACATAAAGAATAAGCAAATTATTATATTAGTAAAAGTACAAAGGTAAAATTTGAGTATTAGCAATGAGGAGCTCAAAAATATGTCTGCGTAAAACTTTTCTTCTGAACTGTGTCTCTGAAACAAATGTGAGAAATAAAAATGCTTACGTTCAAGTATATTTCAAGAAAGGTGTTAGGGTTTTCAGACTCTGAAACAGGATAATTTAAAATGAAATATGATTAGAATTTTATGTTCATTATGTAATATAATACCTAGGAGAAAATTAAACTCAGAATAAATCATTTCCATTTAGGCAAGGGAAAAATTTGACTCAGCATATAAAAAATATTCAACACAGTAAACCAGATAATATTTTTGTACTGTTGGAAATGTATACTATGACTTTCTTTTTAATTGTTAATGCCATGGTACATAGGGCCTATTGCAGTCCAAATTCCAGCTTGATAGTTTGCTTGATGATCATACTGTGGTAAATCATCCTTCTGTGGTAGGAATTCCTAGAACTAGAAGGTGTATTTAAATTTATTGTTAAAATCCTTTGTAAATATTTGCAGTAAACCAAATTCATAATTTAAAATGAACAAAAGAGTACATTTGATATAACCAGTGATTTCAAATAAATGAATAAACATTTATTTTCATGCTTTTACTTTTGTAAGGGTTTTGACATATTTTCAGCTTTGAAATTAATTATGAAATTCAGATTTTTGTTCCTGCTTGTATAGTACCAGAATTATAGTTAAACTTACACAAGGGGAGAGTAATAAATAGATAATACAGTTGTTTTCCCCTCAGATCCTGATTTTTATATTTTAATTTCATCAGCGGTTCCTGAATTTTAGTTTCTTCTAAAAAAGTTGTGCACACATGTGAGTAACATATGAATGCTGTTTGCATATTCATTTTGTATGCATTTTGGTTGGGTGTAATGGTGAGAATGGAGTGTACTTTTGCATGTTAAACTATGTTCTTGCATGTTGCACTGCATGTGCTTGTCACAAGCAAATGCTGGGAAACAGAAATTTGCACAGTACATATGTTCGCTATTAATTATGTGTGTGTCTGTAATTCTGTTTAAAAAGAGAGAGAAAGCAGATGAATTATCGAATTAATTAATTAATTTCTGTAAACATATAATGTAGAAATAGATGTGGAGTTTTTTCCTGAGCCTTTATGGGTTTATGTTTTTATTATAACTGTGAATAGTTAAATTTACTTTGTCTTGATAATTTTTTTGGTCATAAAAATGTCAAGAAGTTTATAGTCTTCAACAACATGTAGTTCAGAGAGAGCCTGGTGTTTTGGAGTAAGATATTTCCCCCTGCCTCCTGCTGGTTTCTTGCTGTGCTTACTATTTGACCCTGAAGATGGAGGTGGTATGTTCATCCATAACATCACATTTCTTCTAAACTACATCTCAGAAGACCCTACTCCTCATAATCACTGCTGTGAAAACCTTAAATCTGACATAAAACTGTCAGTTTTTCATTTATGTAATGGCAGACTGTACTCTTACTTCAGGATGTGATTCTTTTAAGTGGGTTATGATTAAAACCCACGGGAGAGAAACGGGTTTGAAAAACTGCATCTCTTTGTTACAAATAATAATGTTTATTATTATTATTATTATTATTATTATTATTATTATTATTACTATTTATTTCATCCANAACAAGCAGTCCATGTCAGCACTTATTAAATAATTCTTGAAGAGAATAGAAGACATTACACAACAAATAATTCTTAAGTTTCGTCTTAAAAGCATCAAAATCATATGTCATAGGCAACAAGTGTGGTGAATATTTGCAGTGAAAGAGCCTAACTGACAATATAGATAAATTATTTTATAATTCTATAGAGAAGTTGCATCCCTCTAAACAGATGGTTGTCTGAACATACTGCATTTAAAAAATGGCAGTAGAGTTTGATTGTTAAGCATAATTCACTTATACAAACTTTTAATTATGATATTGTGTGATAGGTGATCTTCAGCCAAAGTTCAGATCTGATGGAACGCCAGTCAAGTATGGCATCATCAACAGAAGAAGTATCAGGCCCAATGAATGATCTCTCTGGTGGGTCTCGGCGTGATGAGGGTGCAACTGAGCAGTTTGGTGTATTCAAGGACTTTGACTTCCTTGAATATGAGAGTGAAAGTGTCGAGGTAAGGATTAATTGTATGTTTGGAACGTTTTTATACTTGATGATACAAATAAGGAAGATATTATTTTAGAGAAGTGTACACATAGAAGTAGAGAATAAAAAAAAAAGGTATATTCTGTTGCCAAACGCTATTTATTCATGATAGGAAAAGGGGAGATCACAAACAGGTCTATTCTCATAAATCTGTTAGCAAACTGGATGGAATGTTATTCCTTTCTGTCATAACTTATTTATTAAAACATTAGACTTATAGTAAGATTTTTTTTCTTATAGCTTCACCATTGCAGAAAACCCATAGATCTTTCCTCAAAATATTTCCAAAGAAAACGAACATGTTTGCATATACAGAGATATGGTTTTATGTCTTGTTCATTCTATACCTTATATTTTTCTTCTGAAGTGCCCCCCTTTATTCCAGTTTCAGTAACAAACTCTGTGGAGCACAGGCGAGCAAGAGGAGCTAATAGTTGCTTAGCTAGTCTTGAAATTTCCCTTGTTTATGGAATTGGAGCATACATTATTGTGTTTACATGAGCCCACCCTAGACTCTGTCCTAAGCCAAATGAATACAGTTCAGGTCCTGTTTCTCTAAGATCTGTTTTAAAATGATCCTCCCGTCCATGTCTAGGTCTCCACAATTGTCTCTGCTCTTCAGGTTTCCCAACTAGAATTTTGTATTTATTTCTGGATATGTAATCTATCAAAATGACTTCAATAATACAAATGAAATAAAACTCCAGGTAAGGAATTGTAAGAGATCGAAATATCTATTAAATTTTGTACATCATGAGGTTCCTCTTGAGTGTAGTATAGTAGTTCGATTTCTTAGTCTCCTCATAATCATTCTTGTAATCATTATATGTACTTTCCAGATCACAGTTCAAAAATGTTGACCTTAAGTTCTTTTAGCAGAACACAAAAGGAAGAATTGTTGGCATGTAGAATAGAGTTTATCTATTTAAATTTTTGTGTTGGTGGAATAAAATGAGGTGAGCTGAATTATAAAAATTTTCAGAAGTCCTGCTTTTAGTGTCATTATGAACCTGAATCTTAATACACTCTGAAACTTTCATTGTATTTGTAATATATTTGGTGTTCATTGTAGGGTGAGAGTACAGACAATTTCAACTGGGGTGTGAGGCGGAGACCTTTGAGTGATGGAGAAACAGAAAGGGAACCAAGTCTTCGCCAACTGGAAGAAAGTCTGAGTGAGAAAACACCTGTTTTAGGAAAGAGAAAGGTATGTTGCAGAAGCAGCTGTCAGTTTTTCTTCATGAAACATTACTGTTCAAATAGGTGTGTGCACCACCTATTGATTATATAGTCAACAAATTTATTTAAATAAGAGACTGCATGCTGAGGAAATTTTAAATCTGTAACCTACAATGAAAAGGATTTCTTCTTTCAGCCACGAGGTGTGGCTGAGGAATCTTCAGATGATGAAGTAGGTTCTGAATCTCCATTGGATGAAGTGGCTGTTGCCCCAGAGTTTGGTGGCAGTTCTGCAGCAGGAAGTGGAGTTTATCCACCATCTTCACTCAGTTTGCATGAACATCGGACTCGCCATGACTCAGGGACACGCTCAGATACATCGTACGTATTATTATGATGTCACATCATATGGTAGTCAAATTTGTTATACAGTACTGTAACTATTACTGATTCTCCTTTATCTCATTGTATTTTTGAAATTGCTTCATATAGTTTGTGCAGTTTATGAGAATTTCCCCAAGACTGATATCACTTGTCGGTTTTATGCACATTAAATTTAATAAATCGTTAAATATTGAATAGCTAATCCCATTTTGAATTTTATATTACGAGTAAAATTTATATTGAGACATTTTGGTTTTTCTTGAATGTTTGTGACATTTAATCATATCAGTTTCTGTCAACTTTGTTCTGTTCAGTGGTTCAAGTACTGGTGACCTGGGAGATGTAACTCCATGCAATGCATCTCCAAATCTCTCGGCTCTCATGGCTTTCCGACCAATTGCACGAGATGATACTGAGGAAATGTGGAGACTTCAAATTCAGTCCCTTCTCAACCAGATTCCAGCTTCTCCTATAGAACTGTTTCAGTTATTGCATCGGCTTATTAAGGTGAATGATGTTTTTAGTCCTTTTATCTGCTTAATCTTAATGGCGTGGAAGTTATCTCCTGCAGATATAAAATTATTTGACAGTAATATTGTATCGCAACATCCTGTTGTACTCTTCCACTTATAAATCTTATTTTACAGTCTTATCTGCAACTGTTTATTTACTTAATAGTTTAATATTTTTAAGTTCTAAATTTTAAACTTTTAAGTTAATAAATAGTTGCACGTAAGATTGTAAAAAAGATTTATAATATTATTTGACATTGTTAGCTGTAAGAAAACAATGCCTTGTTCTTTGTTCTGAAAAATGCTTTGTTTCTTCATCAATGAAATAAACTTCAGGGTTTCTGTTAGATTTAATCCACAGGAAAGATTTTATTACCTGAATGAAGCTGAAATTCATGGCATGTCAAAATGTTGATTGTAAATGCCAGAAATTCTGTACTTACATTTAAGAATGTGTGGGTTTTTTATCTACCATTGTAGGATGGTTATACAAATTGAAATGTTTTTACTTTTAGAAATCTATAGAAAATGATGATAAAAGACTTGTGTGAACATGCAGTAAATGTAAAACTTCTCAGTGCCAGTGATTGAATCATGTTTGGGATGTGATGCCATGTAGCCTGGTAGAAGTTTTGTGACCTTCAGGGGAAATGTGAAGTCAGAGGCAGTATGATCATCTGAAACAATAGCCAACTTCTACTGGACTACATGACATATTCCAGAAGATAATGTTCTTTGTGTTATTCTGTAATTCTGTATAAACAGTTGTGCTTACATAGCTAATAAACAAATGACAAGCTGAATGCTGCAGGTAAGAATAACTGTCAATTTGGTATTTTCTTTCAGGATGTGAGCAGCAAAACTGTATCCCTGACTCAAGAAGCTTCTCAGTATCTCTCTGGAAGTGCAGCTGTAACAACTTCACAGGGGGCAGCACTGTTAGGATCACGACTACTTGTTGTTACAGAACTGCTTTCAACTCAGACAGAGCCACCGCATGTGTGGATCAGCCCCAATGTAGTCGCTAGTCCTCGTCTTACTGAGGCCCTCAGGTTTGGGATGTTGGAGATACAGGAACATTGGGAGACTTACCTAGACAGGAAGGACCATGTAGCAGAGGTATTGTACGAATGGGAATAAATGATATCTGCATACATATTTCTTGTGCATATCACGTCATTGAAGAAGTTAATGTGAGTTTTACATATTTAGTATTTCCACTGTCACTCAATAGTCACATGTACATAGCATTCTGCCGCATTAACGTGTTTGCAGTGTATTGATGCTGTGAAGACAACTGTGAAGCTAAACTTGCTTGGAGAGAATCAGTCTGAGCTGGGCAATGAGGAGCTGATTCTAGATCTGGGACGAGCTCTCTACAAGCTGCACTTCCAGTTATTACTACTCATTGAAGCTTCCAACAAGATGGTGGCTGCTCTCACAGCAGTAGCTCATAACAATCAAGTACTGCAATTTTCTAATGAATTACTTATATTACTCCAGGGATAATTATTATTTATGTTTTTAAAATCTCAAGTCCATTCGTGTTGTGTCACTAATAATGTTTTCTTTTTATCTTCTAAATGCTGACTACAAACTTTATGAAAAATAGCTCCCACATTTAAAGTAAGCACTGTTAAAGAAATACTGTCTTCTCCTTCCATAAATATCTCTCTGAACTCTTTATAAGTAATTAGTCATCCATGTTCAGTAATGTTTGTATTTGTTAGTAGAGCATTCCCAGTGAGTAATTTTTAAGAAGTATGTTGTTAATTAGAGTTAATTAGAGTCAGTGAGCAGAGGAATATCCTACATGAAATAAGAAAACAGAAGGCTAATTGAATTGATAACGTTTTACGCAGAAACTGCCTTCTAAAAGAAGTTACTGAAGGAAAGATAGAGGGGCAGATAGAAGTGACAAGAAGGCGAGGAAGAAGACGTAAGAAGATGCTGGATGACCTTGGGGACAGAAGAGGATACTGTCATTTGAAGAAGAAAGCTCTAGATCGCATTAAGTGGAGGAATTGTTTTGAAAGAGACTGTGGACCTGTCGTCTGACAGATTACTGATGATGATGTTGTTGCTGTTGATTTGCAAATAAACTGATAACATTTTTAAAAGATGCACTATCAAAAATAAAGTGGCAGCTATGGGTACTGTAAGGTGACACATCTTTCCTTTGAATCTTTCAAAAAAATTCTTACGAAGTTTGCCATTAATGTTCTATGTTGAAAATGTAAGGAAGAGCAACACTAAATCCATTGAAGATCTTGTAAAATATCTATGTTTCAATAATTTTCTACAAAGTAATTTCTTGCTCTGAGAATAGCTGGCCATACACATGTTTTTATCTGTATTCTTGAACCGTAGCAGAGAAATCTAAGGTTAGAGCCTGTGGTGAATCAAAATTGTTGTTGGTCACCAATGTGCAGTACAGATCTAGAGGTTAAAACCATGGATTTAATATGCTCTAAGTAATACCTTGAGTTTAATGGATGAAAAGGCTTACCATTGGCTAAAGAATTTTCCTGCAGTTTTCTTGTTAGTGAGGAAGTTATACAGGTGTATCAAAACTCAATGGCAAAACTTCAGGAACAGACTCCTCATATAGAGAGAAGAAAAAAGTGTATTACAACATGGGTCCAGAAATGCATAAATACAGAGTTATCCGAGCATGTAATTTATAGAGTGCACGCTGACACATCCTGTTTGCCGGAATAAAAATGCGAGACACCGGTTACAATTGTTACACAAGTAATCATGTTGCAAATCAATTTGATGTGGGCCTGAATACCTCTAGGACGCGCAGATGATATCCTGTCGTCTCCAGTGAAGTAGCTGTATCTGTATCTGTATCCGAAAGTTGTGTATGACGTCTGTTATCTGTGATTATTAAGTGTTGTTTCCAGCCTGCTGTGAAGTGATACGTAATGTACACAAACGAAGAACTCGCAAGCATGCATTACATGTATGGTTTGGTGGATGGTAATGCTTTGGACGCACATCTCTTGTATCAGGAACGCTACCCAATGCACAGATTGCCAGACCGAAAGACATTTGAAGGAATCCATCACCGCCTATGCGAACACGGGAGTTTCACACGTCCACCAGGCACAGGTGGACGGCCAAGAAGTTGGGTTCCACATGATTTGACAGAAATTCAGAAATGGCAAGCTGTGCCTGATTTGTTCGATCGATGGGGCTGGGAAGTGCTGTACCATCCACCCCGGACTTAAGCCCCTGTGACTTCAACTTGATTCCTAAGATGAAGGAACCAGTTCATGGCATTTGCTTCAGAACTGTTCCAGAGATTCTTCAGGCAGTAGACCGCTTCATTTGAACTATCAACACAACAGGTACTGCTAAAGGTATCTTACGACTTCCACATCACTGGCAACAGGTTGTACACAATGCTGGTGGCTACATTGAAGGACAGTAAAACTTCGAATCGTGCATCTATTTTGTATCAGTTGTAAATAAATAGTTGCCACTATTAAAGTTCCAACCCTCATATAAAATTTGGTAAGTCAGATAGTTCCTGAGTGATGAGATGACAAAGCAGAGAAATCTCTTTTCTTTATGTATCTTGAAAACTGTAAGACTTCCTGAAAAAGGTATTAAGCATAGAATGTGTGTTTGAGTTTTCTGTACAGCTTCTGTTCAAAATACGAGTATAAAATAAATTTAGCGAGTTCCACACTCCTTATGCTCAAGATATATCTAGAGACATGTAAGTCTTTGTGTAAAGTGTCCATTATTTTTGTCTGATTTTAAACAAAATTTAAAGAAAACTGCAGTATCAGAGTTAATGAAAATCCTTTCAGTGGTTCTTAAGTTCTTACATGCAGACAGACAGACATAATAAAGGTAATACGAACATTTTTGTAGCTTCTGTTGTGAACATGTGAAAGATGCAAACTTAGACATTTTAATAACCTGAGCATATCCCTTCTCCTGAAGCAGCTAGTACCACTGCCTGTGGTTGATCATAAGTTGTAATTTATCTGAGTTGAAATAAGCTATGAAAATAGAATGAAACAAATCACCTCTCTGATCCAAACCATCACAGTTCTAAAGGCATATGTATCTGGAGAGCTTGGTTTAAAAGCTGTGGTTAAAGTCTATAGAACAAGTCTGAATGGATCCAGGCTGGCATGGTGCTTACCCATGCAGACAAAGTCGTCATCCCGGTTTTGGACTGTGGTGGTTAGAAAACAGGAAAACTCTGCATGTATGGCTGCCTAATGAGTCTCATAAATTTTCCACCACTCAGATCAAATGGTAACCAGCCAAGCTGCCAAAAATTTGAAAATGAACTTTAAATTGACTTTTATTGTAGAAAGCGGAGTAAGTTTTTTTCTTTCAAGGAAAAGTTTCAGCATTTCTTTATTCATTCAATTTACAAATTTATGCAACTTACTCTGTCATATATAATATAAAAATATTTCAGTACCGAATCTTTCTTTAAGAACCAAATCACATGACTCTCTTACTGGCATGTTAGTCAGATCCTGCCAATAAATAGCATATTTGCTCACAGTGGGGGGAAACCATTTTAGCTGTTCAAGGAAGATGTTGTATGTCAGAGGCTGGAAAAATCCAAGATTTTTATATCAACTGTTCTGTCATATGCTGTAATCATTTATTAAAAATGTCAAATATAATGCAGTTGCAGGATGTTTCTGCTGAGGTGGCAGCAGTGAAAGCTAGTTTGACCAGAGTAGTAGAGGAAGGAGCAGACTCTGATCATGGCACACCGACACCAACGCCCTCACCTGCTCCCACATCTGTCACAGCTGGCTGTGAGGAGGCAGAGACAGCATTGCTGGAACTGGTGCAGGCTGGGAAGTGGGCAGCAGCCCTCCAACATGCTCGGCACAATAGGTTGGCTTGTTTCCATTTAGTTGAACTGCATCTCCTATTTTAACTGACAGGTTGAATTTCATTTTATTTGTGCCCTTTCTCTCACTGGATATTTTGATTCATGCATAATGTACTAAACTTCATTCATAATCTCATTAGACATGTTACATGAGTAGAAAATGTCTCCTAGATCGAAACAAAAACCAAAAATGAAAAATGTCCTTAAAATAAATAGAACATGATTCTGAAACCTGAGTATATTTGCAGTTCAGAATGATGTTAGTAGCACTGAGAACAATGATAATATGGTGGGTAATATGTCACATCCGGTGAATGGAGACATTCATGGAGGTAGGCCTAGGCCTACTGGGGCTGTAGTGCCAAGGAAAAAAAAATGTCACATCCAACCCTTTACCCTTAGATATGGAGTGCTGTGCACTGCACATAACCCAGTTCTGTCTGCCCCCTGGAATGCTGTGTGTTGTAAACTACCCAGTTCTCTCTACCCCCTGGAGTGCTGTGCACTGCATGCTACCCAATTCTGTGTACCCCACTGGAGTGCTGTGCACTGCACATAACCCAGTTCTGTCTGCCTCCCTGCCATGCTGTGCACTGTAAACTACGCAGTTCTCTCTACTGCCCTAGAGTGCTGTGTACTGCATGCTACCCAATTCTGTGTACTCCCCTGGAGTGATGTGCACTGCACACAACGCAGTTCTGTGTATTCCCCTGAAACGCTGTGCACTGCACACAACCCAGTTCTATGTACCCCCTGGAGTGCTGTGCACTGCACACAACCCAGTTCTGTGTATTCCCCTGAAATGCTGTGCACTGCACACAACCCAGTTCTGTGTTTGTTGTTTCTTCTTGAAGTAAACTATCATGGAAATGTTGATGGTATATCAGCTGTTGGTAGACATTTCAGTGGCTAGTAAACGTTTATCAAATGCAAATACTGAAGATATTTCAAGTGAATGTTTTTCTTAGTCTTGAGATAGTAAGGCTGATAGCAGTTATTAGTGATATCTGAATTTAAATCTCCAGTGGATACTCCTCCTCCTAGGGCTGGGATTCCCCCCCACACCTAAGGTTAATACAAGAAGTTTGAATAAATTATAGCAGAAGATTACTATGTTCTGGAAAGTGACACCATGCAGTACTGTAGGAGAAACCAACATTTCAGAGGAACCATCTGCAGGGCAGAAGAGTACTGTGTGTGGGAAAGGGGAGACAAAGATGGGACTAAGAGCAAATGAGATCTTACTGTATAGTAAGTGCTTTCTTGCCACAAAATGAGATCTAGAAATATCAGTCAATATGTATGTATTATGAGAGGGGGTGGGTTTCCCCATGCACTTAGACCAGTTATTGGTCCATTGTGCGTCCCCCTTTTAATTTATACAGTCGCCATACCCTACCGGTAACGGTGCGTGCCATCAGCCCCCGTAGAGCCAACGAGGTCGGCCCCCGGTACCTTGATGCTTCCCCCATCAACCAGAGGCACTGGAGACTACTTGGGCAGGAAAGGGCCTGTAATTAAGCTCAGAGGTCTCCTAGAGACATGAGGTTCTTTTATGTGCCGTAAATCTACGACATGGGACACACGGCTTAAAGTCCCTCCCGGAGACCTTGTTCCCTGAATTTTTCCGCCCTTAAAAATTCCACGACCTCCACCGGGTTTGAACCCGCGTACCTTGAGTCATGAGGTGGGAACATTACCCCTAGACTACAGGGGCCGCTATATCAGTCAGTAAGTGGTTCAGTGTAACTGTTATGCAGAAATGGTGTCCTTTAGGTTTTAGATCTTGCCATTGTTTAATGCATTTTCTGATACATGTTCTATTGCAGAGGAGCATGGGGTAGTGATGTTTCCCCATGTGGTGTGGAGGAAGATGACATCACAGGGATATTAAATGTGTTTTGTAAACACTTGGCACATGACAAGTGTGGTAAGTACTTTGCTGTTAATAATCACTGTGGCTATGAGAAGGGAACAATAATTATGCTTTAGTCATTAAGAGAGTTATAATGTGTACCCTTCACCAAATATTACTTGCTTGCTTGTGTAGCTGAGCCCTTCTTGAGGAGCCACAAATTCTGCAGCTACCCAAGAATTTCCCAGCATTTTATGGAACCCGAAGGTTCATTACCATGTTCACAAGAGCCCTCCACTGGCCCCCTATTCTGAGCCAGATCAATCCAATCCATACCATCCCATCCTATCTCTCTAAGATCCATTTTAATATTGTCCACCCACCTACATATTGGTCTTCCCAGTGATTTCTTTCCTTCTGGCTTTCCCACCAATATCCTATATGCATTCCTCTTTTCCCGCTTTCGTGCTACATTTCCTGCCAACCTCATCCACCTTGACTTGATCATTCTAATTACACTTGGAGAAGAGTACAAGTTATGAAGCTCCTCATTATGCAGTTTTCTCCAACCTCCTGTCACTTCATCACTCTTTGATCCAAATATTCTCCTGAGCACCCTGTTCTCAAACACCCTCAGTCTATGTTCCTCCCTTAGTGTTAGAGACCAAGTTTCACACCCATACAGAACCGCAGACAAAATTATAGTTTTGTATATTCTAATTTTTATGTTTTTAGACATCAGAAGAGAAGACAAAAGGTTCTGGACTGAATGGTAGCAAGCATTACCCGAGTTCAATCTCCTCTTAATTTCCTCCTGAATCAGGTTTTAATTACCAAATATTACTAGGTTGGTTAAATCAAGGAGGACTATATTGGTAGAGTATGAGGCATGCAGGAGCAAAATGAGAAATGTCTATAAAATTTTAATGAGAAAATCTGAAGGATGTAGATCACTTGAGAACCCTGGATGTTGTTGATGCAAGGAGAATAATAAAATGAGTTGTAAAGAAACAGTGTTTGAGGGCACAGGCTCAGTATTCTGGCTCAAAATAGGATTTAGTAGATCTTGTGAGTATGCTAATGAATATTCATGTTCCTTAACTCTTAACACTGCTGTGATCGACATATGTCGATCTCTGAAAAACATGGCATCCTTGCTGCAATCGACAAAACCTGTATTGCAACTTTAGAGTTTCAAATCTAAGGTTTCTTTGCACCAGTCTCATTCAAACTTGACAGGTGAATAGAGTCATCTATTGGGAATGTAATGAAGCATCATTCATTTCAGTGGCTGCATTCTTCTGCCCTCTAGCTTAAGAAATGTAAAAGGTTGCATCTGCACAGCGAGGCACGCGCTCCATGGTCATGTGACGCGGGTATTTCACAGGGCTAGTAAAAATGGCTTTGTGTAGTGCGTGGTGCTTTCTATAATAGTTTAAATAAAGTTGTGGACTTTGGTCAACATGTGACATAGTAATAAGACTAGGATAGTGAATTATGTACTTTTTTTACCATGTTGGACAAACCTGATTTAAATGGACTTTTCCCCTGTGAAAAATACTGAATAATTCAACATTTTTGCAACTTCTGATACCTGTTCCCTGTCTGAGGTAAGATTAGTTATATTTTATCACAAATTTTCATACTTTGCACTTAAATTATTTATAAAAGATTTATTAAAAAATAATTCAGCACAGAGGGTACTGAGAGTTACTTAACATACTAGCAGTGAAAGGGTTAAGGGATGGGGAACTGTAAACCAGATATGCAAATGTCAACTTCTCAAGAAGGCCTTTACTCTGTTGAGTTGTTTATTTAGTTATAGATTGAAAAGAGTGATTTAAAAGTAGTTTTAAGATTACAGTCTCCAGAGATATGACACCATGTATTTTAGTAGATTGATACCAATGTTTTGGAGGAGTGCAGTAGCTCTGTCTCATATATAAACTAATTGCATATATGCATACAATATTTAGGGGGTGTGATGTTATTTTAAATGCACATGCCATGGTTAAGGATACAAGTTATCACGTGAGGAAGAGACTTCATACAAAATATGGTTATATTTAATTAAACACAAATAATTAACCAAATAGTAATATTAAATAAACCACAAATAAAGGCTAATGCATTGTCATTATCTGGAGGACCACAATCTGACTTTCCACTTCCTTGAAAATCTCTCGTATGAATCGCAAATTATTATTATTATTATTATTATTATTATTATTATTATTATTATTTGAGGGGGTGGGTTTCCCCATGCACCGTGACTAATAGTCTATTGTAGGCCCCCCTTCAATATTCTACCAGTCGCCATACCCTGCCGGTACTGGTGCTCGCTATCAGCCCCGTTCAGCCAGCGAGGCTGGCAGTGGTACCCGATAACTTTCCCATCTACCGGAGGCATTGGAAACTACTTGGGCAGGAAACTTTGCCTAATTTTGCTCAGAGGTCTCCTAGAGACATGAGGATCTTTTGCATGCCGTAAATCTACGACACGGGACCCACGGCTTAAAGTCCCTCCCGGAGGACTTGTTCCCTGAATTTTTCCGCCCTTAAAAATTCCACGACCTCCACCGGGTTTGAACCCGCGTACCTTGAGTCATGAGGTGGAAACGTTACCCCTAGACTACGGAGGCCGCTATGAATCACAAATACTTGATATTCTAATAAAAGAGTTTTTGTATTACTAGATGTATTTGTGGTGACACGGACACAGCAAGACATGGCTGATGTGTTCACTCGACTGATGGAGAGCTTGTTTCAAGTGCTGGGGGCTGTCAATGCTCTGGACAGCCAGGTCAGAGACCAGCGGGAACATAGCGATTCTTCCCTGCGCAAGACTGAATGTTGAGTAACTTTACTGTTTCAGATGTCTTGATAATCAAGGATTCTCAACCTTTTATAACAGACATTTTGTTTACAGTTGATATTCCCACTCAAAACTGTATATAGGAACTCTTTTTAAGGAATAAGTTTTATAAACATTTACATATCAAGTATATTATTATTGAGTGATATATTTATTAAAGATAAACCAGATTATTCCATGTGTTCTTGAGAGAAAGGGAAATAACTGCTAGCAGCGCATTGCTAGCATAGAGGGAATGTGAGATAAACAGAAAATTTAGATTGATAATACCCAAAAATTTGTTTTGAAAATAATGGTAATGCAAATGAATGTTTCATATTCAGTAGGACGTTTGCATCTTATCCAGTTGTCTCTTAATTTTAAACATATTTTGTGGTAAATCACATGAACATTTCTCGCTCTACAAGTTCTAACCCTATATTTATATCATATTATATATTTAAAACTCATCTGTGGGTATCAAACTTTGCTGTCTTTTGTTTCTTGTTATAGTTGAGTCAGTCTGGATATATGGGTTGAGAAAACTTGTCGTTTTGGTCTATTTATTTTCAAATTTTGTAAAATATAGTAGCATTAACTAGCAGTGTCATTAGAATTTTATTTACTATTCTCACATTATATAAATGTTTGCTTCTGTACTGTTTAGTGATAATTGCTGTACAGATTGTTCAGAAGTAGATCTGCAGAGGTTGGCATGTCATGTGAGTGGTAATCAATATTTGAAGAATCTTGAGATGTACTGAGGAGAAGGGAAGACAGGGAAAATAGAGTGGGTAAGTGGATTCACTGTATAAGCTTTTCCAGGTCAGGTTGTGTACATTTGTGTTGGGATGGTGTGTGTATCTCACATTGCAGCAGACTGCTGTTCAGATTAAATCACACATTTCCCCTATGACACTTTTAAACTTCTAGTTCACTGTCTTTGTCATCTGATAATGCTAATTTTTCTGCAGCACACTGCAGTGTTTACGTACAATTTATTGTTGTTTCTGTAAGTTTGTTATTTTGCAACACTGTAATTATTGTATAGCAGGTAGCAGGGGTATGAAATATTAAAATTTCAACCAGTAAATTATTTTCTGTAACGTGTGAGATCCAAACACCATGCCAACACACAAATAACCAAAAGGATTAGACAGTGATTTTTAATGTGCTGTAAATGACTCAAGTGTGGGAGGAAAAGCTGTGTAATGGGAAATCTGACCATGAAAAGGTTGATAAGCATTATAAGGTCTATATCTCAAGTGTATTTAGCCCTAACACTTGTTATCTTGGATACAGTCAGCTGATCAGAGTTTAAACACACAATATTATGTGATATGTACAAACTCTGTCTATTGGCAATGAGCTGCCATGAAGAGGTAACATTTTTAGGCATTCTCTGTAATGTCCAGTATAAACTTGACATAATGATCAGCATTAAGAAATCACAGACCTATGTCTTCTGACTGTCCAATAACATATACTGTGGCAGGTTTAAGGGAAAATAAATTCAGCCTCTGCCCAATGTCATTGTTTTAACTCTTATAACTTGCTTTCTTCATATTTTGCATAATGCATACATTTTCAAGTAATAAGTCTCAACCTTTTTGAAACATAAAGCACATTTATAAACCAGAAATATTACGGGATTTTATATCACTGTGCCTCTTGAAGCTTTTACTTTTCAGGTCATCCACTAAATTTAACTCAAAGTGATCTGTTTATCTTAATATTCCCACCTCATATCTAGCCGAGATTTATACTTGCTTGCCTGTACCATATTTCAGGCAGTTAAATGCTGGCTTCTCACTTTGGAGCCAGAGGTTATTTCTTGGTGACTTCATATGAGATTCTTGGTGACTGAAGTGACATTGGAGCAGGTATTTCTCTAAAGTCTTCAGTTTTTCCATGATAGTCATTATTCCACCATTGTTCCCTCTTTATCTGTCATCATCCCCATGAGTTTTTTAACAGCTTGACCAGGCAGCACATTGTCACATCCTCAGTGTTAAAGTTTGGACTCCATCTCTGACCTGGCACTTAGCTGGTTGCAGAGCAAGGATGTTAAATGTTTATGCTTATGTGTGTGCCTCAGTTCTTAGAGTTCGTGAACAAGGAGAAGCAGTGTTTTTGGAGGCTCATAAAAATACTAACTTGATGTGCGTAACAGTTGAAGCTTTTCAGAATGGTTTCTGAGTAGACCATTCTTCTGGCACTGTAAGCTCTTTCCCTAGCTTCCCTTAACCTTTTGTATCAGAAGCTGAATAAATACAGTATTATCAAAATAATAGTTTTATGATATGTTAGTTCAGAATAGACATACTTGCAAGATATATTTTCCACTTGTGTTTCAAAATGCTCTGAATAAATTGTTCCTTATATGAATGTTTTAATGTCTGTTGCAGTCTGTATTCTGTATTCCATATTTATCTGACAGAAAACACTTGTTTTTGTTCTGCAAGTTAAACAAATTGTGAAAGTAAATGCCATATAGTAGTAAAAGTTATATTGTCTGGTAAATCAGATGTGAAGTACATGTTATTGAGTGAATAATTCAGTGATGTACAACTGTTGGCCCTCATGGCAGATATGGTACACAGTTGTTTTATTTACCTCTACTTCATTTCTACAGAAGCAAACCATTTGGTAAATCTGAAAACCTATTACAGCCCTTTGAATCATGAAGCTTGTATAAATAATATTTAAAAATTCAGTCCTAATCTCACAGAAAACACTGCAACTCCATTACAGAGACTACTCAATTAATGCTGTTTAGGGAAATAATAAATGTTTATTCTGAAAGTCACGTGGAATACAAATATACTTTGTGGGTAGAATGCAGAGCTTCTTAATGTTAAAGCAGGTGATAAATGTAGTAAGTAGCAACTGTGATTTAAGGATGTAAATTTGCAAGTGAACTTACGAAGTGGTCTTTCGTCCAGTAATAATATTCATAAATTACTTTTCACTATACTGAAAAATGGGGTGTCATTGCTTACAATCTGTGAACTTGACTTTAAAAAACTACAGAGTCTAGGTAAATCTCAAAGTGAACAGCTTGATAAATGAATCAGGAGAAATTTACAAAGATTTTGTGTTAGAATACAAATTTGTCGTCAAAATATACATAAATTGAACCACTCTAATGAATACATAAAAATAATAACTTGTATTTTTCTAGTAAATCACTAATAATTTTATATTTTGAATTACCTGTGTCTGGGCAATGCATTAAAAACATTAAAATACTTTTAAATTATATTTATTCAAGATTATTACATGAGATTGTTAGGTTCAGTACTGCCACAAAATGTTGCAACTTTATCCTTATGTTATATGAGGATGTTGCTTGCAAGCCTGAATTTGATGTAGTCATACATGTTACATAGACTGAACATGGCAAAATAAAATACAAAACAATGAGATTAAGAGGAAGAGGCATGCACTAAAACAGATGATGATAACTGCAGTAGAGAATATCTGTTTTTATTTTATAACAGTAGTGCTTAGGAACTGGTATTCCTGTGTTAGTTCATAAGTTAAACCCAATACTGTTGTTTCTCATTACATGTGATATTGATTCCATTAAACTTCTTAATTGTAATTAACCTTTTGACGTGGTCATTTAAATTCCGCGGCCGCGGCTCCTGCGGTAATATATTCAGCCGGCCATTTAAATTTTGCTCGAAAATTATTTATTCATCATTGTTCTTAAATTCTATGAGATAGGAACATGAAACTTTCACTAAAATGATCTTAAAAGGTGGTTTTATAACCTTACCTTATAATATGAACCCCCTTTATATCTTCAATGGAAGCATGTTATTTAGTATTTGAGCAGAGAATGGTACGCCTTGAAGGATGAAACTTTCACTAAAATGATCTTAAAAGTTGGTTTTATAACCTTGCCTTATAATATGAGCACCCGGTATCTCGGCTATGTAAGCAGGTGACGCCTTGAAGCATTAGTCTAAACACAGAGCTGGCTCTCGAAACGACCACCAAGGTCAGTACGATAAAATGGCGTCAACTGGAGCGATAATGAGTACTTTTCCCTCCCCCACACACATCCGTATCGTCTCAGGGGGTGACCACAGTGTTCTGCCTTAAATTGTGGCGTATTTCTAAGAAATGGGTGCTATGTACTGTGCGAAAGCAATCGATTTTACGAGAATAACATTTTGGACAACCCTCTTCTAAGAATTCCAATGGAATGTGTTTGTGTGGCCAGCTCAGGGCAATATGATATTATATACAACAGCACACATCACCTCTCTGGTGTTTATTACTTCACAAGCAAAGCAAATACGCCATTGAGTGACGAAACCGCTACAAGAAGCAACACGAATTTGCTGCAAGACAGGCATATGTAACGATGACTTATCTCAGCTAAACTCGTTGGCTTAGTATACTCTGTTATTGTGACAACAGGCCAGCGAAAAATCTAACAACCTACAGCAAAACCATCAATTATTATGGGCGTTATAACATAGGTGTGCAGCTGGACGAAACATACACGCCGAACCCCCCCAGACGATTTAAATCCCTGACGAAACATACACGACGAACCACGGCAACGGGTTAATAGCAGAGTATCTGTCTGTGAAAGGGAAAGTTGGAACAAACCTCTGTAGATGGTCCTTTTGGCCAATCTACTGCAGTCTGCAGTTTTTTCCATGAGATACAAAGTGGCAGAAATGTTCATATTGATGTCAGTTTGCAAATATGTAAACACAAATGTGAAATTCAACAGATATGTTCTAACTTTAGGTACATACTAAGGACTTATGTACTTGTATCTTGAATAACTAACAGACATACTCTGAAATATATTTTACCTTTTGTAACATTCCTGCTACATTAACTGTTGTAAGCAGCATTTTTCAGTAGAGTGAAGTGATATTTGTTTTTCTGCTGTGGTCTGTCTAACTTATATAAAAGACTATTTTTCTTATGGTAAGAGCATAGCAATATCTGGCATGAAAATGTGTGCCACCCAGATACATTTCATATTGAAAGTGTATGGCCCCTCCATAGTCGTGTTTTGAAGCAGGCCTCTGTAATTATATTATCAACCTCAGCTAGATTTATCCTAATATGAAGAAATGAAATTGCATAACTTACATGTACAATTTATTGTGGAGGTATTATCCGTTCTGTAAAAGTTGAAACTGTTGACATGTCTGTAACTTCAACAGTTTGATCTGAAACCCAAGTTAAATTTCTTTCAGATTATTTAATTTTGATACAGTTGAACATGTTTAATGTCATTGGTCAGTCTCTAGCAAGACACATTTCATATCTCCATGATAAAACTGGAAAATGCTAAACTGTTAACAATGTATGTGACTGAGAAACTATTACAATCAAGAGAAGCTGTTATGTTTAGCTAGAAGGGCAATAATGATTGAAAACAGAAATAAATAAATATATATATATATATATAAAAGCAAAATTCAAAACATTTGTCAAATTGACTGACTATTAATTTCTTTCACTGCAGTCTTATAGAAGGAATGTGACTACAACTATATAATTACAAACATGTGAAGAAAACAGAAATGGAAAATTCTCTGTAATATGGGTGGGACCATTGGAAATGAAACCGACAAGCTGTATAGTCCTTTCAGAAAATCAAATAAACCATATACACCTGGAAAAGATTCTTCAAGACCAGATGGCAGTATGAAGTCTAAACATTATCCATATCATATTATAAATTTCTGTTTGAATGTGTAACATTCATAAAGAAACATAAATAAATTGGATATAAATGTAACAGCATTCAGGTAAATAGTTCATTGTTGGTGCTGTTTGACATAGCAATTGTGACTGTAATGCACATGTTGGTGACTGCACACATAAATGTTGTAAAGATATAGAACTAATAAATCTGAAGACATGTTGAACAGTTCTTCCCAGCACATTCTGTATTAAACACACACCATAAAATATAGGATCAATCCAGCTTAGCAGGCACCCGTAATAGACACAACACAACAGGAAGAACTACCCATTACCATGGGATGCACACTCACATAGCTGGGACCACATATCAGACATTGAAACTACAAAATGGCAACACCTGATGATGACCAGTGGCAGTCAAAACATGTAGTGTGATGTGGAGAAACTTTTAAATCAGTTTTGGAAAAAATGTGTTGTACATAAGATGGTTGAATCATTAAACTTATATGGCATATCTGTAAACTTAAAAAGATTTACATTAGATAATTGATTATATGTCAGTAAGAGTCACACTTAAGATTTTGTACCTGGTGCTTTATTTTGTATATGGACCATGTATTCTGACTAAATAGAAATAACATTTGACAGATTCATAATCCATAACATTTATGTACATCTGGTCAACTCTTGAACATACTTTACCTGATCTACTTAAAACTATGCTAGACAGTATGTTCTTTGTAATTCTGATATATGTTCCAACAGCATCAATGCTTGCAGTCACCTGATGTGCTAAACACAGCAAATGAGTAACTGCTGGTTACATAAAAACAGGTGTGTTCGAGGACATGTTTATACCCTTCTAACTGTGATTATACTGATAGAAATGTAAATGATGTGCAAGAAAGTAACTCATAGTTGAATGTTTAAGATGTTCAAGTAAATAGTAACTATAGTTTGTCCATATTGTAAATCATTCACAATAACATAAAAATAAATACTTCTTTGTGCCTGTTATTAGCAGCCTATGAGAAGAAGAATTTTAATTATCTGTTAATTAACCTTTTTTATACTAAGGGCTATCATTTGCATGCATTTCACTGAGCATCAGCTCAGCTCAACAACTAACACTAAAACCAATTGCAGTAACAGCAGGGATACCAGAATTGGGTGTCAGAGAGATCAAATATGTTTTACTTCTCCCCCTCAAAAGATTGTATGGAAGGACCATTAGGAACAGGAATTTGAAAAGAACTTTACATGTCTTAAATTCAAGATATCTTCACCATCTGGGGCAAGGATTAATCATTACCACTTCAGGTACTAAGATCCCAGCAACTGCTGATGTCAGCTGTCATCAGTAGTGAATGAATAACATGTCAATGCAGTTGTCACACCATATCTTCTAGTTTTGTTGCCCTTCCACAGTTTAATTAGCTAATATCTCAAGGAGCTGGGATACTGCAGTCAGTATAGTGACTGGCTATGGGCTGGATGACAGAAGGGTCAGAGTTTTCTCATCCAGATCAGTTCTGGGACCCACCCAGCTTCCTTCGCAATGAGTACACGGTGATTTCCCCGGGGATAAAGCAGCAGCCAATCAGTTAAGCACAGGGACAACTTTACTGATATCTCATTTGAATTTAGTGCTTTGATATTTATATACACTTCTTACTTGTTAATTCTTGTGCATAATTTATGATCATAAGTTGGTAAATTTAAACCTGCTGAAAAATCTGGTGCCATTCTTGATTAAGCAATTACATGTATGTAAATGCACCATAAGCTACAAGGAAACTACAAACAGGTCCATCCCAGAAGCTCTCTTTCTTACTTTTGTCATTTCTCCCCACCCTCCACAAGTTACAATTTATGATAACAAGAACTGGGAGTCTCCATTCATCGGAATTCCACCCACGCCATATTTTTCCCAGGATCATGTTTACATATACTCACACGTACGTCAAGGTCATTACAAGGGACATTGGCGTGGAAAAATTCCGTGCGGTCGCACGAAAAAGTTGAAATAATGAGAATCTCAAAATTCGGCAATACATTTATTCCTTTGACAAAACTTCTCTTGAGTTATGTGAGCTCTTCAGGAACATACCCCTCGCACTGAGCCCTGTACTCTTAGGGCGTAACACCTTGTAGTCCACTGAGAGTCGACCGACGTTTCGGTGGAGCATGTCACTTCAATCTTCAGGGTCAAAGAATAAGCGAAGTATGAAACGAGGGTGAAGCAGATGCTGTTCTGCTTGCCACTTGCTTCACGCTGGTTTCTCACTTGGCTAATTCTGCGACCCTGAAGAAGATGGAAGCGACCTGTTTCTCTGAAACATCAAATTTCTTTCAACAAACTATATGACGTTATATCCCAGAGGGTAGAAATCTTCATTACTACCACTGTGAGAACCTCAAATTCTACAAGTTAAAGAAGATTTAGCTTTACCATACGTATTTGACAACTAAATTTCATTGTGTTCAACGTAACCAATAAAATTGGCCAGCACATCCCATTTCGTTTCGTCCGCGAAGGGAATCATGAACAGTCATTAACGGTCATTAAGCTCATGAATCGCAACACTGAAACACGCTAAATCATATCATATAATATCCCATGAGACAACCCCCATACGTCAAAACTGCATCATGATACGTGTATTGTCACCTGCATGGATATATATCGGAAATGGTATAAGCACGGTAGCTGGCCGAGTGTATTATTGCCGGGATCAGAAAACGCGTGAGACTTTATTCTGTATTTGAGCATATTAGGGACTGTTAGGGACTTTAAGTGTATGGGTGTTTCCGACAGTGAAAGTAGGTTACCGGTTGGTTGATGTTGGATGTTAAGTGATGGAATCGGGTGCAGTTAGGGTTAGGCAAGAATTTGGTTCAGAAGGAGAAAATTCTATCCAGAAGTCGGATCGGTTTGTGTCAAAAGTAAATCCGAAGTATTACAAACAAGCATATAGAACCGAATGGGAATCTATGCCCGATTTTAAGGGTACGTAACAAGTCTACGCCTGTCAGAAATTAATGTTTTATTTCCATTCAGTGATTTGTCAGGTCCTGAGGCATTCTTATGAGTGCATTTGTGTAAGAAATAGTTCTGAGACCATGTTCCAAGTCATATCGATTGGAATTTTGAAAGTCATTAAAGTGTATGAAACAAATGTTTTCGAAACAGAAGACTGGTTTCCGTTTTTCGAATACGAAATCAGAACAATTTAATTTGGTGCACAGTATTATCCTAAAATGACATTTTCATAATTCAATATGCCTTGCATGCTAAGGAGAGTAATCATTCGAAGACAGCGCAACTGCAAGAATATTCGTGGTAACTGGACGAAGATATATAAGTCTTTAATGCTGTAACTGGACGGAATTAAATTCCCTAGTGTTTTGATGCTGTGCGTCGTTAAAATAGCCATATTTTTGTAATGATTAAAGACGTTGCATTGCAACATAAAGCATCTGGAAACAGTGATTATATACATAAGTGCCCAAAAAGTTTTGCTTTTTAAAGTGTTAAGAGAAACTTGGGCTGTTGAATTTATGAAAGTCGAGCAAATTAATGAACTAATTTTGTGAGGAGCATTCTGCCTCACCTGTAGAGTCAGTCCTGCAACAGTGGATCATTTTTCTTGAATGCAGTGGTATAATGAATGCCCTTAGTTGTTCTCATCTTTGCTGATGTGTTGATTTCCTGGCTGGCCAGACACAACTGTAGTAGACTGTAAACTGTTAGTCGAGTAATATCGCAGAAAGCAACTAGTACAACAGTTGAATAGCAACATTCCCAAAGGCAATTCCAATCCATATTTTTCATCTTGCAATATTATTTGGTTTAGATGGGAATGTGGGAATTTGGATAGCTCATTTAATATGATGACTAAGCTGTGCAATAAAGGAATTGAATTCTGAACAGGGACAGGAAATTTTACTCTTCTCCATATGACCAAGATAGGCTCTGGGGGCCACCTGCCTGTTGGGTCCTGGGAGTTAAGTGGCCTTGCCGTGAAACTGGCCACTCACCTCAGTGCAGTTCTACTCATCCATGCATCTTAATGGCATGATGCTTAATTAATTAAGTGCAAGGATTACTTTATGCTTACCTCACAGTGGAACATGGTTAAACACGTTGTGTTCAAGCTTAAAAAAAAGCAAAGTGTCTTGTGGCATAAATCGGGCATCTCACAACTTGTTCTCGAAACTCTATTTGCAATTTACCACCTTGTGAGCAGTGAATTTGAAAGTGTTCAAGATAGATCCCTCAGCTAAAAGAAAAGTTGTTGTGTTTCTGTATTCTCTGGAAGTGCTCTAGCTGTTTATTTATAATTGTCTATAGTTTAGAGTACTTAACCTCTTATTATAGGTTGACTGGTGAATAATGAATTGGAAATGGTGTTCATTGTTCATTTACTTCAAATTCAAGCAGATGCAGATACAGGTTGAAAAGTATATTCACAAACCTTTGGATATAGAATGAGTCACATATCAGAGCAAATGTTCCAATAAATCATTGTAACAAGTGGAAGACTGATGCACATTTTCCTGGAAGGACTGAGGAAAACCACAATAATCTCAGTCATGATAACTGGTTTCTAGTTTGAATGTAGCTGTGTGACATGATTTGTTATAACATTCATTCTATGATTAATCCATTTACCTCTTAAGCCACTGCAGGAAATTTTGCTTGTTGGAGAGAAGTTACATTGCCCTGTATAAACTGACAAACTGTGTATCACCTGCTGTCACAGAACTTGCTTAATTTTACTGAGCAGGCTGTCTGAAGCAGTAATCCTGTCTTCTGTTTTGGAGGTGGGCCTAGTCTTTCCAGGCAAATGCAAGGCTATTACCAGAATTAGACCACAGTTGTTTTCTTCCACAAACTTTTCCAACTTAATAATTGCTGTCATCTAATAATTTGATCTTATATGCTGTAAAATAGAATTTTAAAATATGTTCATTTGCACATATCACTGTTAGAACACCTGCTTTGTGTGTGAAGGCATCAGTTGTAGGGTTTGTTTTCCTGTGGTTTGCACTTTGTGCGGTGCCTCAATGTAATCCACTATTGTGAACATAGAGTTTGCTGTAATAATTCTGTGAAAATGAAATTGTTACATATGCACTCACTCTCTTATTATTATACCTGTATATGAATGCACACGTAACACTTTGCCCACTCTCTCACCCGTCTCACACATAATATTTAATGTTGCTAGAAACTCTGTCAGAATATTCGTAGTGAAAACAAGGAATTAATCAAGAATGCTGCCTTCTGGGATGTGGTGCCATGTATATCTTGTGTGAACCGGCTTTTCTCCGAAATGTCGGTTCGCACAAGATCTACACGGCGCCACATCCCAGAAGATGGCATTTTTCATAGTCACCGCCATGAAAGCCTCAAATCTTACAAGGAATTAATCAGTTAGAGACTATCTTTGCAGAATTCATTAGGTTGGTGTCTTGAAAGCCCCCTTTTGATACAGTTTATTTGTGCATATTCTATTTTCAGGCTGGTTGAAGGGGGTACCAGGTGAACCAACCAGAGCATACTGTTTGTTTTGTAAGAAGAGCCTTCATGCCCATAGACTGAGTCTTTTGAAACATACGTGCACCCTTAAACACACCAGAGCTGCACAGAAGAATTTTGCACTAAAGGTAGTTTATTTCTTTCAGAATATAGGATAAGATGTTGGCCCTTCTCATGTTGATACTGACATGGGTGTAGTTTGTAAAATGTTGTATTTAGTCTTATGGTTTTAACCATGTGTTTTTGTGGTTAGTGTTGTTCCCCAAAGGTCTAAATTCACAAAAGACTGGCTAAAAACTGTATATTATAAGAACTGAATGGTTCTTTTTCTGACTGATAGTTAAATGAAGTTACAAGAATACAAGGCAAGCAGCTTGTACCACTTTTGTGTGAATGTAATATTCCCTTGAATTAGGACAAGGAAAGTATTACAGTTATTATAAAATGTACTGTCTAGTTCTTGTGTGCAGCAGTTATCATTGTACTAAACATGAAATGTATTTGGTGTACTCCAGTTAAAATTTATTTTGAAGCTTCATGTAACACAGACTGTATAATATTTGTTATATTTATATTTAAACCCACACTTAGTGTAAGAAATTTTCTACTTTCTAGAGGTTGTACCTTGATTTAATGTTATTGTGGTTGAAATAATAACCAGTATTCATATTTGTTTGTTGGTGGAAAGTGTTCCAGCATAATCACTATGTTTATTTAATGACATTAATTAGTTTATAAATTAATTCAATATTATTTATTATGTAATTATATTTATGTGATTAAAATCATATATTTTTCAATGTTTAATTTGGCTGCAATTAATTGCTTTTAGAAATTGATTTGATATTATTGTTTATATAGTTGTATTTATTTATGTACGAACAGTTCATTAACTGCATATTTAAATAAATTACTTTGTAACGAATATTGATATAGTAATTATTATGAGAATATTTACAGTTTCTTGATGTAATTTTGTATAATGTCTGTTTAGTGAAGACCGTGGTGTGGTATGCAAAAAGCAGTTCCCCTAGAGATTCATTAAATAGGGATTTGCTTTGTAGGTAAAGGTAAAGTTGTCCCTGTGCTTAATTAACCCTTCCGCACCGACATCCGTGTGCTTCACCGACCCTTTAAATAATCGTATGCCACCGACATCTGTGCAGTTCACCGACCTGCGCAGTGTTAGCTTTGAAGGACGTTGCTGACAAAACGAGGAAAGATATTCCAATTTTATTTTCAGAAGTACATAGATTAGGGTTTCATCTTTCTATTGGTATATGAGTTATTTATTTTGGACGAATTTTTAGCACGGTATTTTTATTTTGTATCGTTAGTGTAATAGTTCGTACTTTTGTCTCACTGCGCCTAGATTTCATTGAAATTTTTCAAATTCTAAGTAAGGAAAATGTATAAAACTATATATCTTTCGACTCTATGGTCTTTGCTTGTCTATATGAGTCACTCACTGAAACCCCAGACGAAGGTTTTCCTTGAATGGGTTGCTGTACAGTCTGCTGACACAATGAAGTAGTCAAACAAGAGGGTCCTTTTTTCTTGGAACCAAATGCAACCTAAGAAAATAAACTTACGAATGATACAGAAATCTATGATGTCATAACACTTTCTTCTCTCAGTCGCGCCATAACCATGGCCTCTACAAGTAGGAAAGTTTTACAGGGCGATGAACTAGAAGAGTTCCTTGCTCACGACTCGGAAGTTAGTGAGTTCGAATATTCGGATAGTAGTGAAAACAGTGATAATGAAATTGAAGATCAGGCTGTAGTTGATGCTATCCAAGATCTTAGTATTGAAGATGACGACGAAATAGTGGCGAGGGTTCCAGTGGCGGATTCAGACGAGAGTTATTTTTGGCAAAATATGGATAATTATGATGGCGTTCGCGAACGGTTTTCTGAAAATTCAGGCCCGAGAAATCAGTCTGTCAATGTGCTCGATATAGTACAGACATTTCTATTATTTTTTACTGAGGATTTTGTGAACAATATCGTTCAGGAAACAAACACTTATGCGCAACAATTTATATGTGGGAGGGTTTTTCCATTTAGATCTCCAGCTAGGCAGTGGGTACCAGTGACACTAAATGAAATGTATGTGGTCTTAGCCTTGTTCTTGCTGATGGGTATAGTCAATAAGCCAACTCTAAATTCATACTTTTCAACGAAAAGATTACTATACACTCCAGCATTTCCTGATGTAATTTCGAGAGACAGATTCCAGCTTATATGTAAATTTCTCCATTTCAATGACAATACTAAGAAAGATAATTACCTAGGACCTACAAGACTTTTCAAAATTTTTCCTGTCATTCAACATCTCAACGAAAAATTTCAGACACTCTTCTATCCTGGACAAAATATTTGTATTGATGAATCGCTTACACTATGGAAAGGGAGATTGGCATTCAAAATGTACTTGCCACTGAAAGCTTCAAAATTCGGCATAAAAACTTATGAACTCTGTGATTCCAAATCTGGGTATTTATGGTCATTTATTGTTTACACTGGCAGCGAAACCCAACTAAATTCTTCACTGATCAGAGAAAATACCAATAAAACAACATCTGTTGTTCTACATTTGGTCGAACCGCTCCTCCATAGAGGTCATACTCTATGGATGGATAATTATTACAATTCCCCCCAGTTAGCAAAATTATTAAAAAATCATGGCACTGACTGTGTTGGGACCCTTAGGTTGAACAGAAAGGGTGTCCCAACAACTGTAAAAAACACAAAGTTGAGAAAGGGCGAGATCATAGCTCAGCACGCAGGTCCTATAACTGTTCTCAAGTGGCAAGACAAAAAACCAGTTTCCGTGATCTCTACATTTCACAATGCCGACACACAGACAGATATAAAGAGAAACAAAGAAATAAAAAAACCAAAAATTATAATTGATTATAATGAAATGATGGGTGGCGTTGATTTGAAAGATCAGCTTTTACAGTACTACAACGTGGAAAGAAAAAGACTTCATAAGTGGTACATGAAACTCTTCAGACGCCTTTTGAATGCGACAGTGGTAAATGCCATGATAATTTATAACAAGAATCAGGAAAGACTGACAGACCACTTAGCATTCAGAGTAAATCTGGTAGAAGGGTTGCTGTTGAAGTTTACGGACCAGGAGCAGGCAGCACGTAGAGTACAAGGTCGACGTCATTCATCAGATAACACCATCCCCCGGCTTCGTGAAAGACATTTTATTAGTAAAATTCCCCCATCAGGAAAAAAGGCTAGACCACAAAGGCGATGTGTAGTGTGTACAAAAAACAAAAGAAGAAAAGAAACCGTGTACTGGTGCAGTGATTGTGATGTTGGGCTATGTATTGACCAGTGTTTTCAGGATTACCACACCAAACTCAACTTTTAGCAGTTCGAGTGAGTAAAAAAATATTATTTATCATAATTATATTGAAAAATATATATATAGTTTTGTTCTTCATTTCTTTATGAATATTTCTGTGAAAATTTTATCTCAATATACCAATTTTTGCGAGAGTTACTAAATTTTTCATGGATAAGTGCATTTTTCTGTTTAATAATTAAATACCCCATCGGTTTGGCGGTAGGAAATGATTTAAATACTATCCGTCGCGGAAGGGTTAATTATTTAGGCACTGTACTATGAAGATATATGATGTAGTTGAGGTATAGCTCCACCATTCTTGACCTCAGCACTAGGTGGAGGTGAGTGGTCAGCTTTATGCCCCTGCCACTTTAAGCAAGGGGAAAGAGCCTTTGGTAACCATCGGACAGGAGGTTGTATGGGTTTCAGGGCCTATCTAGACACTATAGAGAAGAGAAAAATCTTGCCCTTACTGCAATTTGAACTTCGGCCACCCCTCCTGTAACCTATTGCTATACCAAATGGGTTATTTCTACTTTTTTTACTTTAAAACAGACATGGATACATGTACATTACTATCAGTCTTTCCATAGGTACTTGGTTTTGTGGCCTAGTGGTCAGAGTTCTTGGCTACATATCCAGAGGTCTGGGTTCGATTCCCGTCGCTATCAGATTTTCTGAGAAGTAGTGGGTCTGGAACGGGGTCCACTCAGCCTCGTGAGGATAATCGAGGAGCTTTTTGAAGGAAATAGCGGCTCCGGTCTAGAAAACTGAAATTAACGGCCATGGGGATTCATCGCACTGACCATGTGACACACTCTATCTGCTAAAGTTGGCACTAAATTCACTGACGAGCGGCAGTCACCTGGTCGGTATAGTTCGCTTGCAGACTCGTGCCATGGAGTTTGTTGTTTGTTATTTGCTTAAACTAATGTATGTGTTATATCCAGACAGACAGAGTATATGATGGTGCACAAAGTATAAAAGAAAATGTTAATTTTTATAGGATGGAACAGAAGTAGATGGAAAAGTAGCTATGGAAGGACTGGGAACTTCTGAGGAAATCCTAACACAGCCTCATATTACAGAAGTTGAAGTTGTTGAAAATGTCGTAATAGCTGATGCTAATGTTCCTGAAGATGGTTCCACAGCAGAAGATAAGGGTGGACTTCCTCAGACTGCTGAGGAATTCGGTGAAGCCGCCATTACACCAAAAAAAAGAATGGTAGTGTATGCATTTCATTTCTGACTAAAGCAGCAGGTAATTCATAGTCGAGGTACATATTATATATGTTCTCCATTGATGACCAGTATCAAATTTTATTTTGGCTGAAGTAGCTCTGTAGTTGACTTGGATTCATGATTGTCTTCAGTGGTTAATTATCTGAATGTTGAGTAGTCAAAAATGCAAGTGCAGAAGATTACAAAGGTGAAACAAAATGAAGAATGCCATCTTCTGGGATTTGGTGTCTTATAGATCGTGTGTGAACTGACGTTTTTGAGGAACATATTGCCTGCATGTTCTACCTTGAAGATCGAGGTGATACATTCCTCTTAAATGTTGCTTCACACAAGCTTTACATGGCGCCATATCCCAGAGCACACAATTCATCATACTCAACACTGTGAAAACCTCGAATCCTACATGAAACAAAATATGTACTTTAAGGATCAGAGGGCATGTAGGTACCTCTTAATTCCAAATGAGGAATTTTGGTGGCATGCACTCTTCGTATGTCTAAACAGTTGTGATTTATGAGCTGTTGTCTTCTGTATACATCTTATCTGCCTTTATATACGAGGGTTGGAACTTTAATAGTGGCAGCTATTTATTTACAGCCGATACAAAATAGATGCATGTTTCGAAGTTTTAGTGCCCTACAGTGTAGTCACCAGCGTTGTGTACAACCCATTGCCTGCGACGTGGAAGTCATAGGATACCTTTAGCAGCGCCTGGTCTGTTGATAGTTTGAATGGAGTGGTCTGCTGCCTGAAGAATCTCTGGAACAGTTCCAAAGTGAATGCCATGAAGTGGTTCCTTCATCTTAGGAATCAAGTCAAAGTCACAAGGGCTTAAGTCCAGGGAGTGTGGTGGATGGTACAGCACTTCCCAGCCCCATCGATTGAACAAATCAGTCACAGCTTACGCTGCATGCGGCCGAGCATTGTCCTGCAAAATGATGGGTGGGTTCTGCAGAAAGTGTCACCATTTCTTTCTCAAAGCTGGTCACAGGTTGTGTTCCAAAAATAAACAGTAATATTTCGCATTGACGGTCTGCTTTCAGGGAGTGGTATGCGTTAGGATAACACCATCACAGTCGTACATGAGAATTACCATAACTTTCATGTTGCTGGGGTTCTGACAAACTTTTGATCTTTGTTGGTGACCCGATTGGCGTTAACATTTGTGGCTCGTGCGACTTGTCCCATGTCTCATCCAACATAATGATATAGCGTAAGAAAGCCTCTCCTTCACACTCCTAGCGCTCCAAGTGGTTACGAGCAGCGTTGTATTGTAGCCATTTCTGCATTTCTGTCAAATCATGTGGAACCCATCGTTATGCAATTTTTCTCATGCCCAGGCAATCCTTCAGAATGTGAAGCACGGTCGTATGCCCTAATCCTGTCACTTGGGCCAGCGCATGAATCGTATGGCGTCATTCACTTTCCAGTAACATGAAAAGAGCATACACTTCTTCATCACTGACATTAGGATGGCGTGGCCGACGCATGTCTGCCACATTTTGGCATCCCTCATTGAAGGCTTCTACCCATCTTGCCACTGTTCTGTAAGGCAATGCAGATTCCCTGCAAGCCTCTTGAAGACATTGATGACATTGTCATGCTGTACAGCCTCTGACACACTCAATCTTTATCGAACTCCGTTGTTCCTGTTTCGAAAACATCGTGACAACACTACATTAGACCGCCAGCTAACATGAGACTGTTCTTCTCGTCACTGCACATGTGTGTGATGTGGGAAGGTAAGAGTCCATTTGCTCTGAGGTAAGGTAGGTATGTAATTAACGTGTGGTATAAGCGACAATATTTGGTTCCATTGCATGCCGTGTCTACACCAGAGTTGAAACTATTAAAGTTTCAACCCTTGTACGTATAAATAACTCCATGGAGTTGAGCCATTCAGAAGTTTATAGCCATTTAGTTAGTCAGTAAATTTCTTGACATCATTGGAACCTGGATGTTCGGTGCCAGTCTCACACAATCCTACCATTGGATCCTATCCTGAGTCAGATAAATCCAACCCATTTTCTCACACCTGACCCATGTACACCTTGTCATCAATATGAGTGTACCAGTATGCTCAGCTTTGAAGTGCTGTATAGGAGTTCACTTTTGCCAGTACAATGTATGTTGCTTATGATCTAGAGCTATAATTTACAAGTGTGTTGAGTGTTCATGTATAGTTAATGGTTTTGCCATATGCATGGGACTGAATGAATAGGGAATTCCATTGTTTGAATGCTCTTGGGAAAACGTTTCATGTTTGTTCATTTGGAGTAGAGTTTGCATGTAGGACTGGTACACTATTTGGGCTGGTAGAAGGAGCAAGAAATGTGTAGCAAACAAAAATGGCAAGTATAAAATCAGATTTGGATGAGGATGATCTGAGGAGTGATGTGCGTGTGCGCATGCAGAGTGATGGTTGTAGAGAGTTTGAGAGAGCCAAATGAAGGACAAGTGGTGTCAGCACCTGCAGGTAGGGATGCAAACAAAGAGACTAGTTGTAAGAAACACTACTGAGACAGGACAGAGCAGTAATAGTTACACGCCATCACTTTTTAATGTTCTAAGCTACATTGGCATAACTGACAGGTTTCTGCTACTGAACTGGAAGAATTCAGCAGCTCCTTGCAGTGACAGATGAAGACTTCATGAATCATATTCATATTGAAATGAATAATTTTAATTCCTGAGTGTACAGCGTTCACAATTCAAACATTTTCAACATTAAAGATATGAAATGGGTGTTATACAAGTAACCATTCCTTTTTATTTGGGCTGCTAGGATATCTAAACATTCCCAGCATTTTATGGAACCCGAAGGTTCAGTACTGTGTTCACAAGAGCCCTGCACTGGTCTGTATCCTGAGCCAGATCAATCCAATCCATACTATTCCATCCTATCTCTCTAAGATCCATTTTAATATTGTCCACTCACCTACGCATTGGTCTTTCCAGTGGTCTCTTTCCTTCTGGCTCTCCCACCAATATCCTGTATTCATTCCTCTTCTCCTCCATTCTTGCTGCATGCCCTGCCTACTTCATCCTCCTTGACTTGATCATTCTAATTATACTTGGAGAAGTGTACAAGTTATGAAGCTGCTCAGTATGCAGTTTTCTCTAACCTCCTGTCACTTCATCCCTCTTCAGTCCAAATATTCTCCTCAGCACCCTATTCTCAAACCTACTAAGTCTATGTTCCTCCCTTAATATCAGAGACCAAGCTTCACATCCATACAGAACCACAGGCAAAATTATAGTTTTGTATATTCTAATTTTTATGTTTTTGGACAGCAGACGAGAAGACAAAAGGTTGTAGACTGAATGGTAGCAAGCATTACCCGAGTTCAATCGCCTCTTAATTTTCCCCTGAATCAGGTTTTGGTTTGTTATTGTCATTCCAGTTAATCTGCAGTCAGGTAGCTGGTTGTGGATAGTTGAGGGGCAATTGTATCAGCAACAACTCTCATATTTCATATAACTGGTTATGTGTTTTGCCATGCTATAATTACCATCATCAGACCATGAAATAAAGTGAATACGAAATATGTCGTATACATGACAGAAGTAACACTGTTCTGTCAGCTGAATTGTCATAATACGATTTATCTCTGAGATTTTTTTATAGCTATCAAATTAAAACTTAAAGTAATATTAATAAATGTGGGTTGTGTGCCAGATTCCATACACCCAGCTACAGTGGTTATCTAGTTAACAATAATTCAAAGTATATGTCACACAAAAGTGGTTTGGTAGGTTATTTACCTGATGAATATAAAACCTTAAAAAAAAATACCCCTCTGAGAACAATGAAACTTCTCAAAACATTTTGCAGGTGACATTTTTTCTTAAAGTCGTTAATTTTTATTTCAGGTTACCACATTTTGAAATTAGAAATCATTTGAGTCCCCCTCTTTTGACCCTATCCCTCATGGGGCCAGAATTTCGGTAAAGAGTTCTTGAAAGTCTATTGACAGCTGTTAAGGAATCACACAGCAGCTCTCTGTAATGCAGTTTTCATATGCAAGCCTGATAGGTGCTGCTATCTGGAACAGTGGTGTTAGAAAAACACCCTGAATAAGCACAAATACCCTGTTGGTTCCAGTATAATTACTAAGATCTTACAGATCAAGTAGTGAGATGATCTTGGGATTCAAATCCCATCCTGGGCTTAATATCTATGCTGTTTTCCATCTTCAGTATCAGTCTCTTTTCTTATCATTGAGTTGCTTGGTACTGTTGTTTGTTAAGGATAAGTTTAAGTAAATATATACTTATGGGCTCCTATTAAGCACACAGCTGTGGAACCATAATGTAACATCAAACTTGCAGTTTGATATCATGTTTAATATAAGTAGTAATATAATCACTGTACGGACATGTCCTATATCTCACTAGTATGATTGTGGTAACCTTTTGACCTTACTGATAAAGCATCATATAGTTTGCATTTTCTTAGTCAGGTTTTTGAGAGAAGGATAACCTTTGCATTTGCTTCGATTCAAGCCTTGTGTCAACAGTTTAGCAGGGAATGAGTTCTGCCATTCACCGAGCAACTGTGATACGTAACCATTTAACAAGTGTAAATTGTAACATTAAGGCAAGTGTTACTTTGATCCTATAATTTGTATAGTAGGTTGTGATTAAAATCAAACTCCATGCTCTGTGTTGTGGTAATTAAGTATCTCATATTGTTCTATCTTGATTGTTTAAGATTACCTTGTGCATCAGTGGCACACCTACCAGTGTGAAGATACTGATGTCCAGCAAATATTCTCATATTTTCTAATCACATTGTCAGTTGCATGTCTTATACAAATTGTTCAGTATTTTCTTATTGCTTAACATGGCAGCTAAATGAATTTCTGAAGTGGCAGTTACACTAGGGCCATGTTATGTGAGCTCCTGAAAGTTTGTATGTTAATAGATCTTAGAAAAATATGCAACTTTTATTAAAGTAATTTATTTTAAGGCTCTAATAAGACTACGTAGCAGATTTGTGAAATCTATATGTGTTTGCTCATTTGATAATAATAATCAGTGAAATGCTGCTTTGTTTGAAATCTGGTACAAAGATAGATCATAATCAAGGTGTTCAAGTATGTTGTGTGTTATTATTTCACCTGGTGTGGGGGGGGGGCAGAAAATTTGCTTGCCAACCTACAGTTAAGCTGTTTAAGACTGTTGTTGCTGATCACTTTAGAGTTTTCAGAATTTAAGAATATTTCTTAAATACATTTAACTTTTGTTATTAATATTTTGTAAAAAATGTTATTTTCTTCGCTTTTAATTCCTTACCCCACAAAAAATGTGGGGAGAGGCAAATATCTTCCTGCTCCATGACTGTACATGTACATATATTGTGTGTTCAGTCACAGCAGTAAAATTTGCTGTACAGCCTAGTATTATAAGCTGTCTAAGAATTTCCAGAATGTTTTCATAGTATTTGATGATGTTGCAAGTAACATCTATATGCTTAAGACAAACAGTAGTAAGCAAGTCTTTGAAATAAAATATTCATGATTCATTTAGTGTACATCTCTTAAAATCTGGATGAATTTATCTAGAAACAACTGCAATGGAAAACATGCTTCTAAAAATTAATTAAATAAAATTCTGAGAAGCCTTGAATAACCTACCTCAACAGTTTGTTTGAGGTAAGGGATTGAAAATCTTCACTATACATTTGTTGACATATGCAGTACACTTATATTTGAACAGTTGCAATTAGAAAGTACCAAATTTGAATGCACTGTAGAAATGACACATTTGTGTTTTTATTATTTGTCAATTCATTGAAAGGTACTATTTTAGCAGACTCGATCTGAAATGACCACATCGCAAGTAGGAGGACCCCTTTCCACTCACGTTCTTGACACAGCAAGAGGTAATCCAGTCGGTGGTCTTCAAGTCAGTTTGTACAAACTGATTGATGGTCGGTGGACACACATCAGTGAAGGGTAATAGTTTAAAGAAAATAATTTTATTTTATCCATATTCTTAGTCCAAGTTTAAAAACATGAGCATTCCCACTCCCTAAGAGGTAAGATTGAAGCTTCCATAGCACCAATACTAGTGCAATCCGCTTGGGCTATCAATGTGTGAGTTGGTTAAAAGTGACTGATATTTCAGGGACCACTCTGATCCCATTGTCATATGCAACAGAACAAGACACTGTTCCTCTTAGATGTCTTGGTAAGTGGAAGACTGTATGGCTCATTGGGATGTACCATATACAGAAAACCCACACATATGGACCTGTACCTTCATGCAAAGTCTGATCATCTGTGACAGAAGTGGGCTCTGTTAACCATTCTGAGTCATTGGGAAAACAGCATATGCAGTTATGAGAGCCTGGGCATTGATCTGAGCCACCTGAAGGAGACCTTTAGACAGAATGGATCCAGCAACTATGATATCATATATCCTCTTGTTTAAAAACAAAGGCATCAGACACAGAAAGAGAAGTAGGCAAGCATAGTGGTGTTACCATATCACTCACTGTCTCAAACAAAGTCAGCAGGCTTCTTGTGAAATACAACATTAAGACACTTCACATTCCTTTGGAGAAAAACTTCTACATGCTTCGATCTAATCTAAAAGTTGCAGGTATATTTGAGAGTAGATGTAAGCAGTGCATGGGACAGATGCCCGATCCAGCCAACGAAGTCTGCTATGGCAAAGCATAAACTGAAAAAAGGCATGATATCAACTTTAGTGACACTTCCATGTTAGGTAAGGCATGAGGATACACGGACTGCTTAATGAAGGAGGCTGTTGAGATCTTTCTTCACCCCATTAACAGGGTCAGAGGTTTTAATTTCAGTCTCTCTTAGTACCTAGTGACTAATATGCTCAAGCAGTAGTGAGATACATCTGCCTGGAGACAGGACTAAGCCAAGCAAATGTATGACTGCACCCAAATTCAGTTTGGGTTTGTTGGTTGGTATATAAATGGGACAATTTGGATTCTGATGATGGGGACTGTTGGCACATGAAATGAGGGCCATTTTTAACCAACTGATGCAGCTGATGACCTGAGAGGATTTCATTAATTCTTAAGATTGTTACTCAGTATTAGAACTGCTACAGTTTAAAGGAACATACCCATAAATTAAGCTCAGTATACAAGGTGAGATCAAAAAATTTCTGGGCAGAATTATTTTCTTTACACTTACCACATATAATGGCTGTTGTGTGCCATGTCATTCTAAGTATTTCGTTGAAACTTGATGCAGTTTGTCCAGTGATTCTGCCATTGTTAGAAATATCTGTGGAAATCCCAGAACATAGTCTTTCTTTAATCATGATGGCATATCTCCTCGTTAGTTCTAACTTGACTTTTGAAAACATTAAAAGGTCACACATGGCTAGATGTGGGAAATACGGAGGGTGGGGAACACAGTTATGTTGTTCATACAAATATATGCTGCTGTTTAGAGTAATTGTTTTTTGATAAAACAAGAATCAAAGGCAGTACTTAACACAGCTTTACTGCATTACATGTTACTCTTGAGTGACATCCTGTGGTTTTGAAATTGGTGGAACACTGTTAGGAAGTTTGTCTTCTACCATTGTCTAGCAGAGAGTTTTCATGCTGACTACAGTAGGTAGCCAATCCAGAAATTGTTTGGTCACACCTCATGTTGTGTTCATGACACTCATAACAGATGTTAGATCTTCCTCTGTGTTGCGTTTTCAGACTGACAAATCCTGATGGTCGCTACTCCAACTTCATTCAAAAAGCAGACTTCACAGCAGGCCGTTACAAGCTTCACTTTGATGTGGATCGCTATTTCGAACTGAGGAAGCTGGAGTCTCTGTATCCCTTTATTGAGGTAGTTTATGTATTTATTCACTTATTTATAACTTAAGATATTTTTTTGGATACAGATGCTTAATTTGGAATGGAAATTATCCTGATTCGCTCCTTTCTAGCTTACTGTCCTTCCTTCAGGGGAAAAAATAGTTGCTTGCTGTGTGTGTCCCACCTTCCAGTGTGAAGGAATTTCACATATTTTGGCATGAACCGTATGCTATTAGAAGCCACCCCAACCTCAGAGCTTTTGATTTCCTGAAGTCTGTAATGACAGTGTGTGAGAGAGAACTGTTTTTATATTCATATGTCAATCTGGCGATTTTCCTTCTGAATTTCAGTTCCAAAATAAATAAATTTGTCCGCCTCTTTCACTACTATGTTGGTAAATTTTATTCTGCAATCTATGTCTTTGTTCCTTTAAATGCTTGTAGTTGCCATCTTGCCCGTGTTCACTTTCAGTCCGTACACAAATGCAATATTCATTATCGTGATATTAATTTATTATTACATTGTCTAGTAGAAAAGAAGTGCATTAAGGGCTTGAATAGTCTAATATTTATAATTAACGTTACAATCACTTGATGACAATGATGGTGGTGGTGGTGGCGGCAGTGGCGGCGGTGTTGTATGCACAAAAAGACAAGCTTGCCCTTTGCACTTCAGTTGAATGGGCTCTCTTACAGGTCATGGACTGCTGAAGACTTCTTTTAACAATATTATTTGTCCGTTTATGGCCACATACAAATTTCCTCCTCTTTGGGTTGGGGGGGAAGGGGAGTGGACTCTCTGGCAGTGTTCACTGTACAGTTTTTGACTCTCATATATGCATATTAAGTATTTTAAATGCCTTTTTGTTGTTCTTTTTGTAATTTTCTATACTTTTCTAATTTTGTTTATTCACATTTCCTGTCCTGCAGCAATTGTTGCCTGCCAGTACATCATACATGAGTGTCCCTATTGTCTAACAGAAGGATGTGTATCCCTCCAAAGCATCAGTAAATTTCTACCAAACTGTGTGACATTACATTTGAGAAAGTAGTGCTGTACTCTTAATATTTTCATCTTCACAACCTCATCACCTGTTGTGATCTCAAAATTCTGTCCCTTTCTCTTTTCCCCATCTGGCAGTCCATATGCTTCATATTGTAGGATGAAGTCTGTCCATTCTGGTTGCGTGATATGCCTGTGTTCCAACTCATGAAAGATGACATTTGTCTTTAGTTCTCACTTATCTCAGTATTCCCCTCCCCCCTTTTTGTCTAACCATTAACATTCAGCGTATTGTTACTATTTTCTCGTTTATGTTATATGCTTGTAGATCATTTCTTGTTGAAGTGTCCATAATTAACTGCTCTTAAAATGTTTGAATATTTGTTTATTACAGTCTAAACTTACCTCAGCCACTAATACTGTTTTTTTTTAATGTTTCAGATTGTGTTTGATGTAAAATCTCCCCAAGACCATTATCACGTACCTCTGCTGCTGAGTCCTTTTGGTTACACCACATATAGAGGCAGTTAATTGATACTTATTTGGTGATGTGCATCAGACATGAACAATTTTTTAGTGTAAAAATGCAGTGTGCTGGGTCCATTTTCAGAAAGCATTCTCTAAAATGCTATATAGTGCCAACAAGTACATTTCACATTCAGCATTTCTCCTTTCTTTTTACCCAGTTATCCTCCGAAACAGTATTTCTTGGTTATTTTCCTTTCAGGGGAGTTTACATCCCAGTGTCTTCTGGAATTGTATTATTTCCATATCTGATCTTTAATTTTAGCATACTTTGTGTATTTTATATACTAGTACATATTAACCGTTCAGCGTGGTTTGACGTGTATGTTTCGTCAAGGTATTTAAATCGTCTGCGGGGGTTCGACGTCTATGTTTCGTCCAGCTGCACACCTATGTTATAACGCCCGTAATAATTGATGGTTTTGCTGTAGATTGTTAGATTTTTCGCTGGCATGTTGTCAGAAGGACAGTATATAATAAGACACGACTTTAGCTGCGTTAAATCATCGCTACATATGCCTGTCTTGCAGCAAAATCCTGTTGCTCTTGGGAGAGATTTCCTCATTCAAACTGTTATGAATGGCGTGTTTTCTTTCCTATGAAGTTATAAACAGCAGAGACGTGATATGTGCTGTGTTTATAATATCATATTGCCCTGAGCTGGCCACACTAACACACTCAATTGGAATTCTTAGAAGAGGAATGTCCAAATTTTATTCTTGCAAGATCGATTGATTTCGCACAGTACATAGCAGCCAGTTCTTAGAAAAACGCCACAAATTAAAGCAGAACCCTCTGAAGATATGGGTGTGTGTGGGGGAGGGAAAAGAACTCATTCCTTCATGTATTATCGCTCCAGTTGACTCCATTTTATCGTACTGACCTTGGTGGTCGTTTCGAGGGATGACCATAAATATTTTTTTGAGCCAGCTTAGCTCTGCTTTCGTTCACTACATACCAGCCAGTTCTTAGAATAACTTCATGAATTCTGTGGTCACCCCTACGACATCTGATGCAGCCAAAATGAATGGAAAATGAAACGCAGAAGCGCCAACCCTTGTTATGATAACATAAAGGTTGAATTTACTGCAGCTAATCTGGCAAGCTATACGACTCACGGAGAGACATTTCCTCTTGTATTCCCCCCACGGGGAAGAATGCAAGGCCGCACAGAAGATGTTTGGTTTACGGAAAAAAGAGCCAAATGAGAGATACGCAGTTTTGGTGTGGTGAATGTGAGACAGCGTTGTGTATAGAAGAATGCTTCAATGCGTACCATACTCTGCTCAAATTCTAAACCACCTGCTTCCATTGCTGAGATACTGGGCGCTCATATTATAAGGTAAGGTTATAAAACCACCTTTTAAGATAATTTTAGTGAAAGTTTCATGTTCCTATCTCATATAATTTAAGAACAATGATGAATAAATCATTTTCGAGCAAAATTTATATGGTCGGCTGAATATATTACTGCTGGAGAGACACGGCAGCGGAATTTAAATGACCGCGCAAAAGGGTTAAGACAGGAGCTAAGATAACTCAGTAAGTATAGTCACTAGGCTGGTCACCTGGAAAATCAGGGTTTGATTCCTAGCTCTCCCAGACTGACTCTGGAGCCAGCACCGCCTCCTATTCAGTGGAGGCCATTTTCTGAGGGGTAAAGTGGCTAGGGCTTGAAGCTGACCACTCATCTATATCCAGTGCCAAATCAAGAATGCATGTAGCTGAACTTCCATTCCCTTCGTGTGCTTTCTTGGCATGGTGTCTAATTATGCACTGGAATTATTTTACCTTTTGGGTAAAAACTCCCATATATGGTTTCTTTGGGAATTGGTGGAATTGAACAGTAAATTGATGAATGTTTGAACATGAAGGAAATTAACACACGATTGTTGTCTTGGGATCAAAGAAATTGAACAGTAAATGAGGGAAAACTATCGATGGTGAAGATTAAGTACAGGCTCCACTGCCTCTGTATTCTGAAAAGCACAAGAGGTAGCAATATCACTCATGTACAGAACACATTTCTAGAGCCAGTAACCTTAGAGTTTTTAAGTTTGTTTAATGATAATATGTTTTCGTAAGTGATATTAAAATCAAATGCTTGATTTGATTGGGATATCATGGACTTCGGAACATTAGATTCAAACTGCTTATATGATTTCACGCTTCGTAATCCAGGAGTTATACAACAGACAGAAATCCTTGTGGAGCAGCATATTGGAGTTACAGAGTAATGTACTGATTGTGATTCCACTCCTAGGTTACTGCTGAGTCTGCAACAAATAAGAGCTACAAGTAAAGTAGACCCAGTGAAGAGATGGGAAAGAACATATTAAAACCAGGGTCCATTGTATCTAATGGTACTGTATCAGGTGTTTTGTTCAAAATGGTAACCTTTCTTAACAAAGACAGTGAGTGGTGACTGAAGAAAGACTGGTACATATAAGTAGTAGTTTTAAGAATACTGATACAGATTTTATTAAAATTAATTTTGAATATTATTTTCAAAGTAATGAATTTCGAACTGTTACGCAGTGTCAAATTGAATGATATTTTCAACAGTCGTTTAGGTGCAAGGAGTAGAATAGGCGAGTGTTACACATTGTGATAACTAACCCCATGGAGCTGAGCCCTTGAGAAGCTACCAGTTGTTGAGCTACTCAGGAAGTTACAGTATTTTAGGGAACTATGTCTAGATCTTCCTAGATGCTAGTTATGTAGGGGCAATTTAATTGAGTTTCTTGTATAACGTTCCCACTATTGTTGCGTCACTTTTATCACTGACCCTCCATTGTAGCAACACTGTTGTGACTACTCCAAGTTTTTATGTTGATCCTCATCTTGCACTGCTGCTACCTCCCGATCACTTCTTGGTTGTCACTCCATCATCTTTTGCTCCCCATTAAATGGGTATTTATTTGGGAAGGTAGGGAGTGATTGTTGGGCACCAGTAAGCATACATGTGGATGACCCAACCTGTGAAAGTTGCCTACAAGATGACGAATCAGCCACACACTTCCCATGTAATTGTGAGGCCATAGCTTACTTAAGATTTTGTCACCTGGGTCAGTTCTTCATGGAACCGATTAATAAAGGGTTAATCCAAAAGGAAAGCACTATAGATCATTGAAGGTCGCAGTGTGAGGGCCAGATTTTATGGCCCATCCCTTACACACATACATAACAAGCATACATGTGTAGCCCAAGATCAGGGTAGTGTCTGCTCAGGTGAGATATCTGGGTTAGCCGGTCTACTCAGGTATTGGTAGAGATGAGCTCTAGTCCCAGGTTGTATCTGGCCTTGCTATGGCAGGACAGTGAGGAACTTGCACTGAAAACTTTGCATGAACACCATCTCAATTTCATGCAAGATTTTTTATTGTTTACTCTGAGTTATTATGCCAAATTAGTTACTTCACTTGCTTAATGTCTACTCCTTAATACAGTATTTATCCTTGTATCACTCGAATTTTCCAGTAACTTCACTTTTACTGAGTAAGTGAACTTGTATAAAATTTAACAGTGTACAAGTTGTGACTGTAATGGCGTGACACAGATTTGTGTCCATAAACTTCAGAAGTTGGAAACTGACTCAACTTTGGTTAATGAGCTCTCCAAAGTAGCGAGCTTCGAGCCCAAACTTCCAAGAGGAAGCTCCTTCCTGAAACAGGCCTTATTGGTCATGTTAAAAATTTGGGAGTTCATCGGAAATTTACATTTCCCAATGATATAGTTTTGCTGTGCGAATTTAGACCTTAAAAGTTTCAACAGTACTTTTGACAACAGCTTGGTGTATAATCAGCTTGGCTTGGGTACCTGGCTGTCCCACTTTTAAGTTTATAGCTTGCACTGGCTGTCAGATCTCAAATTACCAAAGACATGCCACTTTAGCTAGGAAAGCTAAAATTCCAGGAAGCATAGCAAATGCTATATTCTCTCCACACAGCAAGAATGAGCTTATGTCAGTTTCTTAATGTAAAAATGTAAATATCTGCTTACTCCCTACTTATAACCTATAGCTTGTATTTAATTGCTTTTAATTAACATAATTTATTGTAATCCTAATTCTAGTGAATGGTCACACTTAAAGTTCACACATGTAAACATATTGTTGTACAGTGAAAAATGTCTGTGAAGAGCACTGTCTTCTGGGATATAATACCATGTAGTCTGTTGAAAATCAACTGATGTTTCACAGAAACATTGCCTCTATCTTCAGGGTTGAAGAATAAGCCAAGGAAGAAACCAGCAGAAAGCAAACAAAGCAATTGATTAGGCAGAGAAGCAGGAAGGAAATTCTGGCTATCCAATTGCTGTGCAGTCTGCTTTCTGCTGGTATCTTGCTCAGCCTATTCTTCAAACCTGAAGATGGAAGTGATATGTTCCTCCAGAATGTCAGTTGACTTTCAGCAGACTACATGGCCTTAGATCCAAGAAAATTGTGCTCTTCATAATCATTGCTGTGGGAACCTCAAATCCTACAGAAAAGTGTTTGTCACTTGTGAGTCTACTGAAATGCATCCAACCTATAGAAGACAGTGCTCAGATTGCTGTGTCTATAGTGACTGAAAACTGAACTAATTTTTCTACAGTGTTAAGGTTTTTGGACCAGTTTTGTTTTGTTTCTGATGACATGATTACATGCTGAATATCAAATCAGTTTATCTGTGAAGGAGATTTTTTATACTTAAGAATTTTGATGATCAGTTGGAAGTTCAAAGTACTATATTTCCTTAAATATAAGTTACACCCCCAAATGTATATGGTCCTGAAATAAATAAAAAATATTTTATGTGCTTCCACTATTATATACCCAGAAATCTGAACAACTTAGCCTTAGAAAGTTTCATGTTGCTCCATGTAGGTACATACATTGCTGAAAACTTATTGATTTATTGTTTTTGGTTGACAGGAAGTTCTAGTAATGTCAGAAAATTAGGTGTGATGGATTTGCATTAGGAATCTACTAGTTGGTAACATTGATTTGAGTTTAAATCTCGGCAGTGTATCATTTAATCAAAGCCAGAGCATCATCTCTTGGTCATAATAACAAATGCTGTCTCTTTACCATATCTACAATTCATTGGTTATTGTAAAGGTATCACTTTTTGTGAACAGATGTAGTTTATATTTGGACAGATGGGTTATAATACCGTAACTTGAATAACAAGATTAATACATGCCTTAATGAATTGTTAACTGTTGACCACAAAGAAGGAAGGAAAGGCTGTTGAGCAGGTACATACTAGAGACTGGTACAAAAGAAACCTTCTGTGTGACCAATATAGGCAGATTAAAATATTGTCACATGTTTGGAATCCAGAAGTGTTACTTCCATGGAAACGCTAGAACAGACCATTGCATAAGAAGTAACAGTAGCGGTATTGTAATTCTAACTGAGCCGTTGTGTAGAGAACGCTGGATCTCCACGGAGATGAACAACTGAAGGCCCATTACATAACAGCGGACAGTACTTAGTTAGTTAGTTATTGGAGAGGGTGGGTTTCCCCATGCACTTAGACCTGTATTGGTCCATTGTGCTTCCCTCTATGATTTCTACCAGTCTCTATATCCTACCGGTACTGGTGCTTACCATCAGTCCCGCCCAGCCAGCGAGACCGGCTCTACTAGCTGAGAGGTATCTATAATGCTTCCCCCATCTACTGGAGGTATTAGAGACTGCTGTTGGGCGGGAAACATCTGTAATTTGGCTCAGTGACCTTTGGAGATATGAGGTTCTTTTACGTGCCGTAAAGCTAGGACACAGGACCCACGGCTTAAAGTCCCTCCCGGAGGACTTGTTCACTGAATTTTTCCGCCCTTAAAAATTCGAGGACCTCCGCTGGGTATTTGAACCCGCGTACTATGAGTCATGAGGTGGGAACGTTACCTGTAGACTACGGAGGCCGCTCAACAGCGGACAGTAGAAACGAAACCGTGAGGAATGGTGTCTGGTATCCAGTCCGCAGAACACCTGCATAAGACAGCAAGAAGACAGTCTTCAGAAGGCCGCCGCCAAAAACAGTCTAGTATTGGCCGAGATAAAGTGCAAGCAGTAATTGTGATACTGCAAGTGATAACAGTTGTAAAGCGTGCGAGTGTGTAAGTGAAGTCCAATAAAGATTCCCTAAATCTGAGACCCATGTAAAGTTATTTGTCACATGACATACCCAACACGTGACAGTATGTACAGAATCATAGCATGAAAAGGTATGCATGATATAGGTTTTCAAGTTAAAGAGTGTCAGCCACATGTGAATAAACATAGTTTTGCTGGTTCTGTAAAAATGTGGCAAACTGTAACTGGTGACCAGTGTAGAGGAGTGATGTGCTTCACAGGTTTCATGGTATCAGAATGGCTGAATAGGATGACAGGACAAAGCGTTACAGTGTTTTATCCATGATATGCACAGTGAATGGGGGTTTAAGTTTGTTAGAAAAAAATTATTCTGTCACTTAAAGATGCCCAAACCATGGTCTTGAAAGCTGTAGGCATGTTACATTAAGTCTGACTCAACAAGATATTGCAGAGACAGACCCTTTTGTTTTGCATAGAATTCCTGTACATCTCTGTCATATTGCATCAGTTGAATCGGTATAGTAGAAGCTGATCATTGTGAGTCAGATTTCTTTAGGTTGGTGTGCTCACAGCCTGCATATAGCAAGCATTGCACATCTGTGCTAAATGTGCAAGATGAATTGTGTTTCATGCAGTTTAACATAAGTATATCTTATTAATTGTGTTTCTTCAGGAATTTATGGACTCAGTCTTTTTGTGGCTGCTTATAGAAGTGTTGATACAAACTTGTGAGCATGGAAATAATATATGTCCTCTTAAAATTGTTTGCCGTAATGCAAATGTTTTATGGATTATTTGAAAATATTACTGACATCAAGTACATGTTTATGCAGTGTTTTGAAGCTGTTTTTTTTTTTTTATCATTTCCCAAATCATGATTGATCCTTAACTCTCAGAATTTTTCCATTAAATTGGGCATTTGACCAAACAAAAAATTCAACCGAAGTTCTCTTTGAGATAGAAACAGCATCTCAGTGCAAGATATCTTGTACCGTAAGTCTCGGGCTTTTATCCAGCTGGGAAACCAATTCTGACTGACGTTTTTGCAGTTTTCTTCAGTCCTTACAAACAAGAGCTGTGATAAGATAAAGGCCACAGCCGATTCCTTCAAAATCCCTACCAATTCACTGTCAATCAGTTACTTTTCATTAAACCCATAAGCATACATGCAGGACATTAGCATAAATAAGTTGTGTAATGTAATAAAGCCATGCCTTTTAAAGTTCTGAAAAATAAAACAAGTCAAGATAGGTATGCATAATGTAATGATTCTGGTATGCATAAAGTGTTTCCTTTTTCTGTGCAACTTGTACAAACAAAATTTTCACTGATAAATAGTTACTGAGGTATGCTGTAGATCCATGATTTATTTTATCCGTCTTCTAGTGCATACATTCATCTGTCCCCTCTTCTCACTCTCACTACATGTTTCGGCACAAAACATGTAGTGAGAGTGAGAAGAGGGGACAGATGAATGTATGCACTAGAAGACGGATAAAATAAATCATGGACTTAAATCAGTGCAACAGGACGCTAAAATATAACATGCTGTAGATATTCATAAACACATGGATTTTCACAGAAAGTGGTACTTCTTTGTTTTTAACAAAAAAAAAAATAGTGTATCAATACATTTTAGTAAAACTTCTTGGTATAAAATTTGATGAAAATTCATTTTACCAGTTCTCAAATTTTTATGTTACACAATTGCAATAATCCGGATCTTAAAAACTATTATAACAAATATTGTAAAATTTTATCAGCTGTTATTAAAGAATCAAAAAAGCTAAACTACGCTTATAAAATCAATAAATCCCTGAATAAGAATAAAACTATATGGGATATAATTAAACTTGAAACAAATAGAACTAGCAGTGCCGATAAGGCTATAACTTTAAATATTGATGGGATCTCAATCACCAACCAACATGTGATAGCCAATGAATTTAATAAATATTTTCTATCCATAGCTACAAATATTAATATTGATCATAATGACCCTAAATTTCAGAAATTAGATGACATTACTCCCTTGCATTATTTATTGCAGTCTTTTAAGACTCCCTTCCCAAACATTAACCTAAAGTTCTTATCCTCCAAAGACGTTGAAAAGGTAATAAAATCTCTTAAGACTAAAAATTCGTTTGGATACGATGAAATATCAACCAAATTATTAAAAATTAGTTCACCTTTTATTAGTTCGCCCCTAACCCATATTTGTAATAAATCGATATCTTTAGGAATCTTTCCGGATCGCTTGAAATATGCAGTTGTCAAGCCCCTTTTTAAGAAGGGAAATAAATCTACTATTTCCAACTACAGACCTATATCTATTTTAAGCTCATTTTCAAAAGTAATTGAAAAGGTCTTGTACGATCAACTTCTGAATCATCTTAAGAAATATAATATTTTAGCAGATGAACAATTTGGGTTTAGAGAGGATTCCTCAACCAATAAAGCCATTTACAAATTAATTAATGAATCCTTGCAAGCTTTAAATAGTAAACTTCCAATAGGTTGTATATTCTTTGACCTTGAGAAGGCATTTGATTGTTTGAATCATGATATTTTATTGTCTAAACTGCAATTCTATGGTATAAATGGTAAAGCTAAAAAATGGTTTGAATCATATCTTAACAATAGATATCAGAGAATTCAAGTTTGTGAAAAAGATTCTAATCAAACTACCCATTCTTCTTGGGGAAAAATAACTGATGGTGTTCCTCAAGGCTCGGTTTTAGGCCCGTTGCTGTTTCTCATTTATATCAACGATCTGCCCAAAATCGTAATTAACAATGCTATATCCATTTTGTTTGCCGACGATACAAGC